TCAAAGCGTACCGAAACTAATGCACAAGCAATTCCAAACTATTCACCCTTACTATCTTAAGTGTCTGTGATTTTAACGTGTTGATTTTAAATCTTAAACTCATATAACGTATTCATTGCTGCTTTGTAAGGGAATTATAATTATTATATATACGAGCGATAATCAATGAATATTAAACAAATTTCTCACGATGAAATATCGTTTTTATTTTATTGAAGTTTGAAATGTATGTATGATATTAATTTTGAAGTCTTTAGGGGTTTTACCGTTACTATCTGTTATTAATGATGGGAATGGCTATGAAGTTACCATAACTCGATCATTCTTCCATGAACACCATGGCTAAGTTACGTAATACACTCTACAACTAATATAAGGCGATTTGCACGGATTTGCATGTAATTCTATGGTGATTTCGTTATATATGATATTAAGTTAGCCTCGTTGGGTGGTTCGATTATTATTTAATGTGTTTTTTATTATACATACCATTATAAAGGAGATATTTCTTCCGTGATAATATATGGACTTTTTTGTAGACTTTTTTTTATTAATTTATCTTTAGTTAATATATAAAATAAATAAAATCTTAGTTATTAACTTTAGGTGTAACTAATTCTAACACTATTTTTCATCGGTATGGAATATATTAATGAAATACATATGTTTTGATTGTATTTATCATACTTAAAACATGAATCTACTAAGTACTAATAGGATACCTATATACAAATAAGTGGAGGATAATCTTAAAGAAAAAATAATTTCCACTATAAAGCAATTTTTAAACTTAACCAAGATTTCATATTACAAAAAACTGATCTCAACCGTTTTTCATTAATAAATCTTATCAAATTTTATGTAGTACATATCAAAAAAGTTTAAACAGGAAACGCCGCACGCGTCGTTCGTCGTGCGTCGATGAAAACTTATATTAAGGATACCATTGTATTGTCCTATATAAGTGAATGACTTCTCTGAACTAATTCGATCCAAACATTAAATTCGTATTAAGATACTTTAATAGTCGTCGAAATCTCCACAGATCTTGATTCAAGCGTGGTAAGTCAGTGTTTAACAGCTGTCCAGGTGTTACCAACATTTTTATTACAATTTAACGATCCCTTACTTAAAAGATTCTACGAAGAGTTTTGGTGCCTTTTTTTTAATTTCTATTGTCTTTTGTTTTATATCTGGATATTTCGCGTATAATCTATGTATTAAACTTTAAGGTACACATAATTTGTATCATTATAATTGATTTTTATTAAATTTATTTACTTTTTACAAATTTTAAAACGGTAAAAGTTTAAAAAATTACATATGTGGATATATGTACAACTTAAAGAACAAATATTATCACCGTTCTATAACAGAGATGTTTTTTTTTTTCAAATATGTAAATACTTTTCGTATACATCGCAATACTTTGATTAAAATTTTAATAAAAACTCTTTTGTATTTAAATAATAATAGGTTACTCATCGTGGATGGTCGTATCGTAGAAAAAAATAAATAAATAGGCGGGTCCTTAAAATAATCTACCAAAGGTATTCCTAGAAGTTTCCTAATTAAATTAGTTAGTTAAATATCCACACGATAATGTTGTCAGATAATGGTCCACCATTATTAAAAAGTCCACTTTTTATAGATAAATAATAGATGAAAAAAAAACTTAACAGTAGTAATTGTGAATAATTTCAAGCTATAGTTTTAATTAATTTAATTTCATCTATTAATAGAGTTATCTTTATATTATTTTTTTTTATTTTATTTCTTTCTTGTTATACCTACACCCATTTCTTTTCTAGTTTCCTCTATGAGAACGGTTTCTGGTAGAGATTTCTTTTAGGAGATAAGTTATTATGTGTGCATCATATTTCTTTTATAATAATGTAAATAAAAATTATAAATATTTCTTCTTTTAGCATATTTTTTATACGTTTCTTTTACGTTTTCTCTTTATAATATTAATAATCTCTATTGGTTTTTTAAAAAAAGTACAAAAATCGATAGCTCATTATTTATTTGCTATCGTATCTCAGGTCTATAACAATGTTATGCCCTTTAATCGGCTCAAACCGTTTTTTGCATCGGTCGATCAAAAGAATGGTTCTGTTATGAAACGATTCATCGAAATTAATCCTAAAACACTATCTCTATAAGGTCGACTTTCTTATAACATTTATTTTTATTAAAAAACACTTAAGCTTCAGAGAAATTGGACACTAATGTGTTTTTAATATATATACAAATCAAGATATTTGACTAGACGCGCCGTCATTAGACGTATAATAAATAAAACTGCCAATTAAACAAACTCTTAAGAGTTTTTCAATTATAAGTCGCGATAAATTGTCATATTAAAACGATATTACATACTGTATCGGAGAAATTATTTTTAACTTTTATATAGGAACTATTTGGTCATGTGGACCGTTAATGGACTATAATCGATAAAATAAGGTCGACCCTATTACGTTCCTGCACGGGGTCAGACGCATTCAGCTATTAAAAATACCTTTATTATATATGAATGATATTAAATTCAATTTTTATTTGACGGAAGAAAGAGTTTGTATTTTAAACCTGAACGTATATAATTTCAATACGTACACATGTGCCAAAAAGTTCTTACAGTTCATCTATGAATTATATTTAGAAATTTAAACCATAACCTGTTTGGATGTTCGTACAAATTGTTTATTATATCAGCACTATCCAGAGTTCGGTTTATTGACCTAGTTGCGAAAACTACTGTAAAACTACTTATATTTTTAACATGTTCTGTTTAGCAACTATCCTCGCCCACGTACCAATGAATCTCCTCATCATGACAGCTGCTTACACGGACCTGGTATCAGAACTAATTTTGTATTGGTTAACTGATTTTATCTAGATCAGAAGTTAACTTATCGGTTACTGAGATCTGTTTTGTATAACAGCGATTTATTTATATAGTAGTTTTGCGTTACTTACTGTATATAATTTCTATGGGATTTAGGACACATTTTAATTGATCTCCTAAAAGAAAGTCCAATAGATAGAACTAGTAAAACAAAATAAAAGAAATGGATAACTGACATACATATATAAATTATATCGCAACCATAAAATCAGTAAACTAACTAACTAAACTAACTTTAGAAATATAATTCCAAAATAAGTCGGATGACGTAACACTTGTTACTCCTCTAGTACCAGGCGAACATAAACTATGAGGAAGTGCAGTTTAAATCCACAGGAGTGATCCTGTGTCACAAGTGTTCTAATTTCAAATCTATAATTATTATATCCACCGAATGCTTCGTACCCTTTTTTAATTAAAATAAACACAAACCTTTAAGAAAGTTTTGTTTAGAAAATAATCTATTAATCAGAGATAACCAGTTTAGACAGGATCCTTCGTGTTAGAGAGAGACAGATGCAAATGAAAAGGACGATAAATTCCTTCGGGACTCGCTCTCCGGGCATTCCATAGAAAGGGAAATGTTTTTTAACCTCTTATTAACTTTCGTGAATAGTATTAATTATTATAATAAGGATTTTTGAACGTGATATATGGATCTCATAAACGTACAAGGAGGTGTGAGGATTTTTTGTTTGTTTATTTTTTTTTGTGTTATAGGATTTTATAGAATGTAAATAATTATTATAGAGATCCTCGAATGCCAACATGTGTTTATATTTCTGAGCTGGCTGAATGTAGTTCAACATTTGCGTTTGAGTTTTGAAGTTGACAGTTAAATAAACTTGTTGCCACATTAAATTTGCATTCCACTTAAATTGTACTTCACGAGTCTACAGCGAGGGCACCTGAACATTTATCTGCAAACATTGCCAGTTTCGAACAACAAAGTTTTTCTTAAACAGAGCTTTGAATGCATTTATTACGTTCACTTGTAATTTGCTGTGATGCTTCTGAGTAGCAAAAACTACAAGTTAATTATAAGTTTCACCTGTATTTAGATGTTTTTTTCAGTAAAGTAATTTTTAGAAATTTTTTAATGTTTTGATTGTATGATGTTAATAATAAATTATATTTTTGATGAGAGATATAAAACGGTTGTAATAATTTATCATATAAGTACTTTTCTTTTTATTTCACTTTACATACATACATACTTTATGTTAGAATTGATAATAATCAATCATTTGATTTATTATTTCATTAGAAAAATTTTTCTACACTGCAGCTCTTTGACTTTGACAGTAGGTACCGAATTTTGTGTGACCTGTTCATGCTCTCGAAGTTTAATAAAAATTGAGTGGGGAATTCTAAATTAATAGCAAAATTCAAGATATTGCAATCAGAAAAATATAAAGGGGAAGCATAATCAAAAATCTTATTATGATATATCGATGTACACCCAGCAACAATCGGCATTCAAATAGACTCATTTAACATGTAATGTTCAAATAATGGCTATTTCGCGGTCGGTTGACTGTCAGATGTCCCCATTGAACACACAATGGAGCCGATGACTCGTGTGCCCGATTAAGGTCCACAATGTTCAGACATTTATGAGACGGAGTAACGGGAAAATTAATAGAAGCAAACGTTTTCGACAATATATAATTAAGAATAACCATCAATTATTTATTTACACATCATGAGAGGAACGAAATTTAGAAATGTGTTTTATTGCAGTTTCTAATATTAGCTTTGTTTTGGATAAAAAAATGTTCCTTGTTTGTGAATGAAGAAACTGTAGGAACTCACACAAGGCTACTTAAGCCTACATACACGAACCTTAGACTCACACATTCAAACTGTCCACGCACCCTTCAATGTTTCTATGTGGAGGTTTTATTAGAAAATAAGCCATGACCGGACACCGCGACCTCCGCCGGAGCGCCCTTTTTTATCAACTTTTGTCCTAAAATGGAAAACAAGTACCAGGCACCCAGAGCTCGTGAACAGTAAACGGAGGCCACCCTTAGAACAGCATCAAGATACGAACACTCGGAGCTGTCTTGACGTTAAGCGGGCGACATATCTAACTCGCTCTAACGTTCGTCCAGTTGTCGTTTGATCTCTTTCCCGCCTGCTTAGACAGGGTTGGATCGCCACTGGTGTGAGTGTCGTGTCGTTCAGGGTGCATGTGCCACCCCTTGAATGTACGAGACGATGCGTGTGTGCCCATTCCGTGTGTTGGCTCCATACGAAGGCATACATGAGTCGACTTCCTATTCCCTTCTGTTATCCTGGTTCCCGAGTATGTGTAGAGATTAGAATTTGCTAAGCCAAACGCTCATTTTTTCTAACACATCCCCCATACGGAGCTAATAAGGGATATTTTCTAATATTTGTTTTGTACTTCACGTGTGCGATGCTCATATTGGTTATATTATCAAACATGTTGTAGCCACATCGGGGTTAGAAGTTGGCTCAATAGAGCTTAGATAAAGCGAGAGGGGTTGTTGCGTCTGTCTCCTTCCCACATTCCTATTCCCGATTATACACACACATGTATGTACCCTGTTACCTCATAAGTTAAACTTCATTTGCCATTATGTTGAGTAAATAAACAAAACATACATTTGAAACAAACAAAACAAACTTTTTGCTAAATAATAAAAAATAAATCAAAAAGTATTTTGTCATAATTTTTAACTAAGCTAGATTTAAACAAACAATAACAATAGGGTGATACTAATTACCTATAACATTTTCAATTAACATATTTGTTCCCGGTTGATTTTGCTTTTAATTTTACACAAATAAGAATGTGATTAAGTTAAATTAATAAGTTATGACCTAATTTCTTGCAATAAGCGTGAGTATTAATAATGCTTAGTGTTCCCGAGTAACGGTTCAAGTTTCGCCTGAACGTATCTGGACCCTGGATTATATTGTAAATCTCATATAATCCGTCGTCCTGGGAGGTCTCATGTCTAGCTAACTAAGTTTTTATGAACATCATATAACAAGATTTATTGACCTTAATTCAGGGGCAAAAAAGCTTATGAGTTAAATCGAATCGGCAACTTAAGGTCCAATAAAGATAGGCTGATCAAATTTTATATTAGAAGAATATGATTTAAATAAGAAGAATAACGAATTAAGAAGGATTAGTTAGTGAAAGTCAACCCTTCCGATGGTCTCCAAAGTACCAGAACATCATAACAGTGAAGGAGTATCGAACAATGATACATCGCGATACGGCTGTTGTAGCGGACGCGAGCCTTCCGCCGCCCACGGTGTCCGCACTCATGGCCGCGTCTCACTGTTACAATTATCAATTGACACACATTCAATATGGCCAAAACTATTGTATACAAAAAATATATGAGGAAAATATTGTAAAATATGTATGCCTTTAAGGCTAGCGACAAAGTGATTTACATATAAAATCAACAAGCTGACTGCTTATATTAAAGGGACATAAGACCCTTCTTAAGAATTTCTAATGTTTCAAAAAAACTATAATCTTGTTTCCGAACTTAAAAGGCTTCTGTAAAGGAAGTGTCATTTACCACCGACGACGATGGAAGAGATTGATATTAATGTTCTTATTGGGGAATTATTTTTTTTACATCGAGTATACGAACATCGTATTAATTTTATTTAGTTAGCACGTATAAGTCCGATACACTTCGGGGAAAATTGGTAGAGCAAACATTCTTCAAAAGATTTCGAGATCAAACGCGCCGTTGGTAAATATTAACTCGTGCGTCGAGACTAATTGCTTTGCGCTGTTTCTAGTACGATCGCCGGATAATTGCTAAAATATACGAACGTAAACTTCAAGTTCAAGGAAATACTAACAGAACATACAGAGAAATTTTTATTTAGAATAACAAAATGCAAATAATGTTTTCTTTTCCTCGTATTTCATTTCACAATCGGAATTTTTAACAAGGAAACCTATCAGTTGTAGAATGAGACGCGTGCCAATCATAAACATGTAACAGTTACTGTAAACACTACACAGGTGTAGTTGAAGCGCATGCTCGGAAATCTGTCCAATAAACGTTGACCTTCTATCCGTCGTTTGTTTTGTTGACCCGGACCCGGTATGTTCGGCACGATGCACCCTCCGAGGGTCTAGCTAGGCTGGCTACGGCTGACAGGTAGGACAGGTAGAACGCATGCGCCAGGTGGGCGTTTTAAACCTCCTCGCAATGCCTGCTAGCCTGGTACTAGGCTGGCATCGTGCCACAGGTACGCTCCCAAAAAACAGGTGCTAGGGCTCTCACGTTGGCCTCGCTGACCCTAACCTTGACACGTTAACTGGCAGTTGAGAATTTCACTCGGGCTCGGCCTGTTCGAGGTTTAGGGGATGATAAGCCATTTTATTCCTTAACTGTGGGTCGGAGAGTCTCATTTCTCGATCATGGGATCGAATGGAATTTAATTTAATATAACTTGGACCCAAGAATAAATATCAACACAGTTATTATGCGTCAAGTGCTTATCCTTATCAATATTATCAGGTGATACTTCGTCGCGGCTGTCACTTAAGCTAGACGGGCGGTTATAAAGAAATGCCAGTATTAATTAATTGCTAATTCCACTTGCATGGAGCATTATGTTGACGGCATAAACCCATTCAGCCTCGGATGTCAAGTTTAGTAATGAGTTCTCATATCTTGCATTTTATTTCAAATACCTGGTACACTTAACCAGTCTTAAGATTGTAGATTTTTTAATTGTTTTTCATTGAGTTTCTCGAACCGTTTTATGTTAAAGTTAGACTAATACACAACATATATTTTTATATAGATTAGAATGAAATAATTCAATTAGCATAAAAGTATTCTAAAAGCGTATAAAAAGAAATCCATGCATTTTTTTTTTTTGAATAAATATGCTAAGTATCCTACTGTATAAAGCTGCTGCTTTTATTAAAAAATGTCAGAATCCGGTTTCTCCGTCAAGGCATTTTAATTGGTAATCCTATCCCTTGGCGGGAATTTGACGCGTTTTATAAATTTTGCAATATAAAAATTCTGTCACTTGAAATAATAGCTAGCTATATATTAGGTATGATAAAAAGGATGTCATCCATAATAAGAAGTAGTTTTTTTTTTATTTATAGACCAATTCTGACTTTTTCCTAAAAATTTTTAACTGAAATCAAAGATAAATTATCATAAAAAATATGTCTAAACGAAACTAACATAAAAATAAAAAAAAGGCAGATCATAATTACGTTCTAATCAGCATATTATTCATTTCTAATTTTATTTTGAGTACAATCTAATATAAAAATGTTTTTAATCACATCGTCTCACAAACTGAAACTTCCCCTGAAGTTCAACAAACTATAAATGTCGTAAAAATCGTTATAACTCCAGGGTTCGTTGTCCGAATCGGTCAAGTAAAACGTCGCGATACTAATTGATTATATTACATTGTCTAGAGTTTAGACTCAACCCGTGACCTATCTAGGCCGCTAAAATTAGACATAGTTTTTTTAAATGACACTAAATCAAAAATGTAATTTAAACCAATTGCTATAAACGATCGCATTCTCATATACGACGCGTGGGAATTAATTAATATATACACACTATTTAGGCTAACAAAACCATTTATATATGTAACTATAAGATTTATAAAGAAAAGTACAAACATTTAGAGCTAAATCACAGTTAAGGTGCTCCTGGAAACAATTAAAAGACAAAGGAAATTAAACGTGGACATCAATTAGCGTGTAAACAAAGGTATTGTTGGATTAACAAAGGTTAGTTAGTGGAGAGGAGCTGGTGTATCAATCACTTTGTTTTTTTACTGCTTCCTTTTTAGAAACCGAATACAAATGAGTGATACTGCTTCTATTAAGTCATTAAGAAATGCCAATTACCAAGACAAGTAATTGGTTTATGTAACTTTCTATAAGATAAACAAATTTTCTTTATAATAAAATTTAAAAGTATAGTTATTATATTTGAGTATTCATTTTAAATTTACAGTACATATATAGGTATTATGAAGAATTTTTTTGCGTCAAATATTCTATAGAAAAAGTTCAGATTATATTATTATTGGTTCATACGATGTTATTATAAGAGTTTTTAATCTCATTACAGTAGAATTTGAAGTAAAACTTAAAAATATATATATTACGATATTTTGAAAAGTGGCTTATTCTGGTTTTAAATAAGGAATACCAGAAAGTTTATTACATTTAGCCATCAAATGGCTTCCCACGAAAAAAAATTAGGACATATTAAGATCTAGCACTAAAATAAACATCACTTAACAATAGTTTACTTAACCCAAATTGGTTGGGCTGAATGTAGATCGCGTTCCAGGCGTTGGGTTTATAGTTTAGAATTGGACTACTAAATGATAGTAACTCTGGAACTAAACAGATCAAATTATATAATTGATATTACAAGAAATAAAACTACATCTTAAGTGTATTAAAACATCTTTATTAAATATATATGCAACCTCCTTTAACAACCTCAACATTTTTCTTTTTTTTTTGTGCAAAAACTAATTTTATTTCCAGCCAGTTATTTTTATTTTATTCTGTTAACATTAAGATCGTGATCTGTGCGATAGATAATAAATATATTCTTGGATTGTTTAACACTACACAAGTAGGCCATTCGATTGATTCACGAAAATTTCAGCTGTCTGCGTGTGTACAGTTCACTTATTTCGTATTAATAGATTAAAAAATATATAAAAAGGTTTCCAAAAAAGACGCGGGTAATTTAATTTAGAGTGAACTATTCTATGATCAAATCTTTACTATATTCCTCGCATTGTCTAAGACTTTGACAAATCGTTTGATCGTTTATTCACTCTCTCTTTTGTTTGTATTGTCTCAAAATAAATATATTTTCTCTTTTCATGTCCTCACCCACATTCAATCAGATAAATTTAATCTAATAATGTCTTTGTTATACATTAAAATTATTTTGTTATTATTTGGTAGCTTTCTTATAATAATTTTAATTTGTATACATACATCAAATATTTGGTTAGTTATGAACTATGTAGCTCGGATTTAATTGATAACCAAATTTCAAAGCAATTTAAATTAGATAATTAAAATAATATATGACGCTGGGTAGAAAATCAATGTTTTAATTCCATTTAAATAAACTTTATTGTTATTCTTATTGAGCTTTATGATAAAAGTTTCTATGTGACACATAAGTTCAACGTTCTACGTGACGTATGAACGTAAGGCGCGTCTCTGTACAGTCGGCTTCGCTTCGACGCACACATTTTATTATTGCTAAAACTGTTTATGAGTGTAAAGATCCCGCATATCCTCTTTGAACTATTCCTTTAAAGATGGTGAAAAATTTGACGTATTGCCATCTTATAATATTTCGACTATAATGCCTACTAATATTATAAATGCGAAAGTAACTCTGTCTTTCTGTTTGTTACGCTTTCATGCCTAAACCACTGAACTGATTTTAATGAAATTTGGTACAGAGATAGAGTTGATCTTGAGAAAGAATATAGGGTAGTTTTTATCCCAGACTTTTGAAAGGTTTTCTTGGAAACGCGATATAACCGAAATCCACGCGGGCGAAGCTATATATATATTTATAAAATTATGTATATTCGTAAGCCAAAATCAGTTACCGAACTTAATATATTAAAACATAAAAGAGAACATTCATCACTTCTAAAACATGAAAGAATTTAACAACTGGTTATAAACTTACTTATGACTATAAATTAATAATTAATTATATTCTGAACAACTATAATATATTATACGAAGCTTATTAAATAGTGCATTTATTTAAATTTGGGGGTTAAACACCTGGAGATCGTGTTGGAAGCCGTTAACCTCGGTTCGTGGGCGGTCGTGATGCTCTACGTCTAGATTAATCATCAATCTCCAACGATTAAAGCACTTCCAGCACTTCGTATCCACAGGAATGGAATCCGTCAACAGCTTCTTAATAGAAATCCAAACAGGAAGATACATAGATTATTATGAATAAATAAATATTGCTTAATGAGCTCTGACTTTCGCGCGCTAAATTATACTACGCGTACTTAATATTGTGAAAAAAATATCGTCTGTCAAAATCACGGTTGCTGAAAAGTAACCGAAATGTAAGAGAAAATATTATTTTTATTTGTCATACATTAAATATGTTATAATGGCGTTATCTACAAAACTCAAATAGTTTTTAAGACTGTATAACTTCCAAGATATTCTAGTTAATATTCAATACTCATAGATGCAATATGAAATGCTTAATTAATTTAATCCTATATTGCAATCAACCACATACTGTGTTGATAGATCTGTTAGAGGTTCCGCTCTTCCACAGCAAATACTTTTAATTATTTCAATGCGAATCATTTATTTTAAAACAAAGAAACAAATAAAGAAGTTTGTGGTACCTATTTAGTTATGCTTTTTTGTATAGTTCAAAGTTAATACATTCGTTAGGAGTTTTCGAGACGATTTTATGATTAAATGTAGAATGTTTAATTCACACATTCGAGTCTAAGCACGAAAACTTAATTGATAAAGCAAGAAGGAAGCTATGCTGCAGAAGAACTACTTCCAAGCAGAACTGCTTACAAGCAGTTGTATTCCTGCTTGTAGTGATGAATCCCTACTAATATTATAAATGCGAAAGTAACTCTGTCTGTCTGTCTGTCTGTCTGTCTGCTACGCTTTCACGCCTAAACCACTGAACTGATTTTAATGAAATTCGGTACAGAGATAGAGTTGACCTTGAGAAAGAACATAGGATAGTTTTTATCCCAGACTTTTGAAAGGTTCTCTTGGAAACGCGATATAACCGAACTCCACGCGGCGAAGCTGCGGGCGGAAAGCTAGTGTTCTTATATATCTTAATTTATTTTATCTTTCAGCTCAATATTGTTTTAATTCTATAAATATATTCATAGTAAAATATATAAAATATAAAAAAATGCTTTTAAAACCTAAAAGATGATTCATACTAACTGACTGACTATATAAATTTTATGTTTATATGTACTTCGGCTGTTAAAAACAGTTGAACACATAAATTAGACAAACAAGACCGTCAGAGTCTATTTTAGAATAGTCTAATGGAAGCATCTAGAAATAAAAATTAATTGTCAAATTTCGTTAAATATATTTTTAAATTCGTTGACTTATCACCACTGAAACCGGCATTTGTTATTTACTATATACATATAGCACATAATAAATATAAATTGGTATAATAATGACGATAATCAAGAAATTAAAACAAAAACATATTAAAAAAGATATATATTTTGTAGTGACAAAAAATTTAAATCGTTCACATAGTTTACAGGCTAATAAATCTTAATTTTTTTAAAAAGCATTTTAATTAATTATAAGTTTTATTGAATTAAACTTTTCATTATTCCGTACAGAGTTCGTCGCCGTTGAAGCGTTTTTCACATGTATGTACTTCGAACAGTTCATCACGGCTTATTCACGTCTATTTCTATATTATGAAGTAAACTAGTACACTACACTGGATATTTTAAACAAGATAGATTTTATAGTATTTCTTTTGGATCTGAAACCATTTTTACGCGATGTATTCGACGTTTTATTTAACATTTCCTTGAATCGTTTGTTTTATGTAGGTAATGAAATAAAGCAATGAAATATAAGGAAGGTATAAGGAACAATAATAAAGAGGATTTTAATAATGTTCACGTAAATAATTACGTATTTAGCAACATATACCATTTATGCTATAGCTTATATAAGGTGCTCATTAATTTTTCAAGCTGTTAGCCTCAAGCTTTTACCCAGCTCTGTTTATCCACTTCATCCGTGCAAACTCACACCCTCTAATTATTGTAATTGGCTGTTCGAAGCGCAACGTTAAATTGGTCTCGTCTAGAGAACAGATTTCTTCCTCACGGGAACTTTTTATATATATTTGTTTACGATGTATTAAATAACTATTTATCGATTATGAGAAAATAAATAATAAAGACACAGTAATTATCTTTATAACACTTTTATTTAGAAAGTATCATACGATTAGAAAATTTACGGTCAGTTATGAAATTTCAAATTAATATTTTCTTTAATCAAAGTATTAATCTGATTTTAATTAAAAAATGCCTTTTTATATTTAGATTAATTTTATCAAAATACCTCAATTACGTTATATAATCTAAGAACGTATTTACAAAGTCAATATTGAAATATAATTTGAAACCAAAAAGTCTAAATAATTATAATATTAACATTCAAACGAGGTTCAAACTTTCTTTCAATGTAGGATACATACATCACAATTCACGGCATAATTGTCTTATTTATAACAAAATATCTTTGTACATATATCAACGCTTTCCGTAACAGTCGCCTAATTGACAGTCGCGTTGAATCGGACCCGTGACATTCGGTTTAGTGTTACCATCCTGCGGAACTGCCATTTGTAACGTCCAATACCAAGTTGATTACATGAACGCTATTCAATATGTTTTTAATGTACTCTGTTTTTTTTTAATAAACTTTATATTAGTTAAAACTTGTAATAATATTTTAGAAGAGATTCTTTGAATAAAAGTTTTATGCTCTTTCAAACATAAACTATGAAATACTTTTTAAATAACCAATAAAATGATAGAGGGCTATAATTTATTCAGAAATTCTGTGTTGTTCTTTAGGGAACACGCCATAAAAATATGTTTAGTACAAGTTTCCGTCGTCACACTACACACATCGCGTTTCAAATTTCAAATTCAATGAGCAGCGTCGATACGATATTACTTAAATTCTTTTTAGTGGAAAACTGCCAACAATACATTTGTAGTGTGACGATGTAAAATTAGGGTAAAAATGTAGGTGTATTTTGTATGGAATAACGTGATGATGGCCATAGATGTCCCTTTCGTTTGGTTATGCTCCTTATCTTCTGGCACGTACAATTTATTTATCTAACTTAAATACAACATTTTATAAAATGCAAATGTTATGCAAAAGTATTAAAGTTAATTTATATTATCAAAAAAAATTGTAAGTCACAAACATTTGTAGTATTGTGTACAGTGAAAGAATCACAACTTTATATGTAGTCATAACCATACGAGCATATCCGTTCGCGAAACATGTTTCTCGTATGTAATACATATTTGTGAAGACGACCGTTAAACACAAACCCAGCAGAGTCTATATGAACTTTTATTAGCGTTTCCTATTCCGACCTTTGTTTATTATATGATTTACAGCTATTCGGAGTCCCTTTGATAAATTTATGAACACCTCATTGTTACATGTTTGATGGAAACTCTTCGCACATGCCGAGAATTTACAGCTTCCATCCAAGTTACACAGTTTATTGCTCATGTTTTGTTATTTGTGAACAAAAACTTGTGGCTTCTGGTATACTATCACCAGTTTGTATTACGGGTTTTCTTTTAGAAATATTAGTTCCTATAAACAAAACCATTTAATTACAATTTAATTTTTATAGTGTCTTGCTATATCTATACATACGATTTTAAGATTCAAGATGAATATTGAAATATACAAATATTATTTAACAAAAATAATAAACAAATTATGAATGATTTATATATTATTAAATATATAATTTGTAACCAACGAAATACATAATTAGGTCACCAGAACAATTTGATCTCGTCATCGATTGTTTAAAAATAATTTGATAATTAAATTTCAATTCACATATGACATAAATCATACTCATTAATATTGGATTAGATTTGTATTGTTTAAACAATATGTAGCTACAAGAATTGACTCTGTAATTATTTTAGGCATGCGCTTAAATCATCTGTAATAATATTATTATATGGCAACATTTGTTATAATTTAAAAATTGTCAGGCTCAAAAGGACTCGTATCCAAAGCTTTAAAAACATTTACAAAAAAAAAAACTCATATAAAATTTGTTGACATTTATTTAATATAATTATGATTACACGTTAATGTTGATGTATTTTTTAATTACTCCTGTGTAAAATATAGTTAATCATTCATACGGTGACGCTGTCACTTATTACTTATTAGGTAACAGTGTCAGGTATACAAGTCGAAATAATTGCTGTACAAAGTTTCTACAAGACATTTAAATTGAGATAATATAAATTGTAGGTAAACTTTTCCATAAATATCATTATTTTTTTTTATCGTCATCTTAAAAATATCAAATATTGAGATTTTAATGAATATTGTAACATTTAGATTTCTTTTTGGTAAACAATTTTTTTAGTAATAAATGGTTTATTGGCGCCATGTTTTTTTTTACTAAAGTAACGTTTCAGGCGTGGTTGTTGAATTAATACAGTGACGGAAAAAAAATCCTACTATCGTTTAAGTAATTAAAGATTTTAAAGAAAATAAGTAATAATCATATCTAATTATAAAGCAATACTCAATTTCGTTTAGAGAACTAAACTTTAAATCACACAAATCCTGGTCACAAGCTTGTATAAAAAATGCTAAGAATTAAGTTACGTCTCATAATTTGATATCAATACTTATATATCTAAGTTAAACGTTTTCAGATGACCGGATACGATAATATTGACGTTTGATCAAATCACGTCTCATCTAGTTAGGAATAAAAAGCGTTCAACTCTACCGACATGTACCTATAACTGACGTCGACGTAAAAATATTTATTTTATATTTCTTCTTCTTCTTCCTGGCAATTTTCCAGCTTTAGCCAGGATCTGCCTTACATGTTATGAATAGTTTTGGCTAGTTTTTACGACCGGCCGCCTGCCTGACATCAACCCTCTTTGGGTATTATACATATATGTATATATTTATTTATTGGACTAAAATCTACTAGGCAACCCATATGTAATATGATTATTGAAATACTAAATTGAATATAAATTATGTTTCATCAAATAAGTATCTCGGTGAAGGTCGTTTTATACTATTAAATATATTTGATGCAGTTTATATACGACATTTGAATATTAGATAGTAATGTTTAAAATTATTATTATCTTTATATATGTATTGTTTTTGTTTTCTATATATTTTGTTTGTCTTTTTTTCCAGATCGCTGTTATTAGCAGCCTTCTTGCTAAGTAACGTCTCCTGGTCAACTTCCAGACACCACTTTAGGCACAACGTGAGTCACATATAAGATATTACTGCGTTTAACGTTTATTATTTAATAATACGAGAAGTTTCTTTCAATATTACGGCAACGAACCTAAAAATAGTTCATTATTTTTGTTCAATTGGAAGTAAACAAAAACATTAACAATTCCTTAAGACCACGTATTGGTTACATTCAAAGTATAGATACAGAGATACCCCACATATTTGTAATACATTAATTACCCATAAAAGTTTTGAAAGATAAAAAAATATGTCATATGTAACGCAAGTCATTTTACTTTCAAAAGCCAGGTACCGTTAGATCCATCTATCACTGACCGGCCGCGCCAACCTTGACTTTGACACGCAATAACTAATAATAAACACTCATTAAATTACAATCCAACAATCTATACGAAGACGCATCAGAACTAATATATACTAATGTAAATTGCATATATATCTATTCTTGAGACCATTAATTTATAGGCCTCAATACAATTTAGTTCTCAGTAATAGCGATCTTTTCTATTAGTATTGATCTAGACTTATGAATTTTAAGAATTATTTTATGTTTTAAACAAAAGATTGTACTAAGCCTAAATTTTAGACACATTGTATATTTCACAGTCGTACTATTTTCGAAACAAAAAAATCAATAATAATATATTTAATATATATCATGAATAGAAACATTGGGACAAAATTACAAATCCTTTGTTCCCATCTCAACGTTCACGATTTCTTTAACAGCGAATTTGTCCCTCGAGAACTCACGATTTCGCAACACTTGAGTTAGTTGCGTGCGAACCCAAAACGATTACGGATTACAGGACAGAAGAGACTTTGATATTGACAAGTAAATTTTGTAGGCTATCAACTATAATTAGGAAAAAATTACATCCATACATTTCTTTACTTACATTTTATAGAACATATTTTCATATTAACATAGTGGTGGTGAGTATCTCATTTATTTAGGACAGATCCAAACTGTACTTGATGAGCGGTAAGGCAAATAAATATTATTATTACTGACGCAAACACTTGTCATCAAGAGTTCCACCATCCTACGTGGGTACAGCGCCTGTATGTTTATCTTCCCAACAATAAGCACGCTCATGCTTACCAACCTAGATGTGATAACATAAAAACTATTTACAGACCAGAACTGTGGATCTTTAATACGAAAATTAAATATTAAAGAAAGATTATCGGTCAGCAATATATTTTAATATATAATTTTCAATGTAATTAAAAATTATTACACGACGACACAAAATCTCCTAGTATTCAATGAATTCACCGCGCGGGTGCCGGGTCCATCGCTCCCGAACGGTGAATCGCAGTTTTTAGAAATATATATTCTAAGTAAATTGCAAAATTATTATGGCTTTCAGATTCATGGTCACAGAAGCAGACATAGGCGGCAAGATGCAGGCTTGTTTCACCCGGCATCTTACGTAATACCCGGAGGCGAGGGAACCGGTGTTTGGGGTGAATGGGGTAAAGTGTCTCCCTGTTCAAGAACATGTGGTGGAGGAGTTGCCAGCCAAAAGAGGATTTGTCTTGAAGTTGGGTAAGTACAAGCTAGTATATTACAGCAAACACAAGACCAACATATGACCTATACATTGATACTTTATTTATAAATTACTTTCAGTCTAGATAATCAGCCTCTCTGTACTGGTGGAGATACGAAATACTTCTCGTGTCAAACTCAAGACTGTCCAGAGAGTGCAGGAGACTTCAGGGCTGAGCAATGCGCTGAATATGACAACCAGGCGTTCAGAGGCAGCGGCATAAAGTATAAGTAAGCAAACTTGTGATTTTTCTTCATATAATGTCCTATATAATGTTATGGTATATAATGCGATTGTTTCTCAAAGTTGGGTGCCCTACACTAAGGCCCCAAATCCATGCGAGTTGAACTGCATGCCTCGTGGCGAACGGTTCTATTACCGACAGAAAGCTCAAGTCATTGACGGTACTCGCTGCAACGATGAATCCTTCGACGTTTGTGTTGATGGAGTATGCCAGGTAAGAAAAATATTTATATCTGTGGACTTTCCACGCTGTATTGCCCTATAATTTGATAACTTTGATGTTAAAACTCTCGATAAAAATTTTGAAATATTAATTACCATCAAACATTTCACAAGCCTATCCCTAAGTACTCGTAGCTTAAATTAATATAAATGGTGGACTAATGAATAAGGTAATCATGATAACTTTCTTTCGATGTGACACAGCCTGTTGGATGTGATATGATGTTGGGTTCGAACGCGCGGGAAGACAAATGCCGACAGTGTCGTGGCAATGGAACCAACTGCCACACAGTCAGCGGTCTTCTAGATACGGATGACCTTAGAAAAGGTATACTTACTTGAGCTATACCTATTTGACCATATTCTAATACATTCTGCACTGTCATTTATCGATACAATCTTTTCTATTTTGCGTATTTTTTCAGGCTATAACGACATGCTACTTATACCTCAAGGTGCTACGAATATTTTCATCGAGGAAGTCAGAGAATCTAATAATTATTTAGGTAATATAGAACTACTATAAAGTATTATCATATAACGAATGTATTGTAATGTTTGATAATTAATTCACAGCGTTGAGAGCGAAACAAGACAATGTGTACTATCTGAATGGAGATTATCATATAGATTTTCCTAGAAGTCTAGTTATTGCTGGATCGTTATGGCATTACGAACGAAGTCAACAAGGTTACGCTGCACCGGATAAATTGAGATGTCTCGGTCCCACGGACGAACCGCTATATCTCTCAGTAAATAAGTTTTCTTATTAAACATTTATTTAATACAATTGGGTATACTATATTCCAGGATCTTTATTATAACCTATTCTAATACATATAAGAATTCTTCTTTTAGCTCCTTTTACAAGACTACAACGTTGGTATCAGCTATGAATATAGTGTCCCTACTGCGTTAGCTCCTCCTTCCAACCAGCAATATAACTGGGTTCATGAATCCTTCTCTGAATGCAGTGCTACATGTGGTGGAGGTAAGCATATTGTAATATTAATACTTTCCTTTAATACATAAGTCATCAAAATTACGTGACAACAAAATTTTCTTCCTCCAATCTTGATTCTAACCTTAGAGCAATAATGAACTAATACTTAAATTAAATCACCCTACATTTTCTAATTTAAATATTTAAAAAAAAAATGCAAAAATTATCCTTTAAAAGAAGTCTAAATAATATTTTTGTTCAAGGATTTCAAACACGTCAAGTGACATGCCGGTCAAGAGAAGAATTAAACATAGTGGATGAAAGTTTGTGTGACGCGGGTCTCAGACCGGCTACAAACCAGACGTGTAACACAGAGGCCTGTCCGCCTCGCTGGGTAGAAGGACCTTGGAGCCCTTGCTCGAAGCCTTGCGGCGACGGTGGGACGAGATCACGACAGATATACTGCGAGAAAATTATTACCAACAGGTAAAAGTGCATTTTAGGCCAAAAAAATTTACTGGTTTCGTGTCAGACTTACAAAATCTTTATATAAATAATTCTTCTGCGAGTGTGTATGTCACTGAACTTCTCTCAAACGACCGGACCGATTCTGGTGAAATTTTTTGTGTATGTTAAAGAGGATCTGGGAATGGTTTACATTCACAATTTCGTCAGCTGGACAATGTTTTTTTAATTAATTTTTAATTTATTAGTAGGTAGTTGTTGATACAAACTTTTTTTTTTGACATTAGATTTGACAACTAACTAATATGTCAATCATTCTGTCGCACTTCAAAACACGGATATGGCTTTAATAGGTAAACTCCAAAAATATAAATGAAAAAACGTAACAGATATTTCTTGGTTATAGGGCGATACGAAGTTCGCCGGGTCTTCTAGTGATCAATAAAATTCTTTAGCGTTACTTTAACAATAAAATTCTTTCAGGTTTCCATCAATAGTCGCGGATAAGGAGTGTTTCGATCTTCTTGGACCCAAGCCTGAGTTGTATCAGACGTGCAATGAGAACGCTACCTGCCCTACTTGGTTTACAGGACCTTGGAAGCCGGTGGGAATTTTTATCAACATTATATTGACTTTTAAAAAGTATATGTTCTAGTCCTTTAAATATGATTTTCTCTTTCTAGTGTGATAAATTATGTGGAGAGGGTAAACAAACACGACAAGTTGTATGCCATCAAAGGATCGATGGTTTCGTAAGAATATTCGAAGACAGCGAATGTGAGGATGAGAAACCGATTGCTGAGAAGAAATGTATTCTACATCCCTGCGATGGAGTGGATTGGGTTCTATCTGATTGGTCTGGAGTGAGTTAAAAATATTATTGAATACAGGATTCCTATATGCTTTTCATGTGAAATGATTATTTATTTAATATTATTATATAATATTTCAGTGTGACACATGTTTGTCCACGGTCCGAACTCGGGTGGCTCTCTGCGCTACCAAGGATCGTAAAGTAGTTGATTCAGAACTATGTTCGTATCACCCAAATCCGTTATTAGTGGAGGAATGTGATCGCACCAAGCTCCCACCTTGTCAAGTTCAGTGGTACGCAACTCAATGGAGCAATGTGAGTTTTTACTTCTATCATTATTTGTTTAACTGAACAAAATATGTAACATTTTTATTTAACAAACAGTGCTCAGTGGAATGCGGAAAGGGCGTGCAAACTCGTAGAGTATTCTGTGGTCTATTTGACGGTGCTTCTGTTGTAAAAGTCGACGACGAGAGATGCGATCAAGAATACAAATATAACAGTACTAAAGAATGTGAGGTGCCACAGGAAAAATGTCCCGCCAAATGGTTCGCGGGCCCCTGGTCAGAGGTGTGAAACATTTTTGAAATCTTTCGTAACTAAATATTTTATAGAAAGCATATTTTAATTCCAATACTAAATAACCCCGGATTAGTTCAGATACATGGAATAATAAATCTTTAAATGAATTTACTCGCTCCTTAAATGGTAACAAATAATAGTTAAGTATTCGATAACTTTATATAAGTCAACATCAGTACAATACTTCTACATTGATATATTCCTATACATAAATCTTACGCACTTAAAACTTTATTTAATTAAGAAGTATTTTAATATTACTAAAATTAATGAAACTTTATTTATATTGATTATATTACTTAATATAATAGTGTACTAAAAAATGCGGCGGCGGTGAACAATACCGTCGTGTGATGTGTTTGAGTGGTGGCAAAGAGATCCTCATGTGTGATAAAGAAGCCGTACCAGACTCGACACAGTCATGTAACATCGGACCCTGCGATAAAGGTATTATAATATTAATATATTAAAACATAACAAATTCATAGATTTTATATATTAGAACATTAATTTACATACTTCGATAATTTCCTAATTGTAATTATTTACATATATACTTTACATGTTGTAAAATAGATTGCTTAAATAAATTCATCTTAATCTATTTGATTTTTTTGTTGTTGTAAAATTTATCTAAATCGAAATAATATAGAAAGTGTATTTTAGTAATAGTATCTTTAATATGTAAATCTTATTAGCTTTCTTGTAGACATTGTCTTCAAACCAACGAAATAGTTATAAATTATTTAGATAATCAGACATTAAGCGATAAATATAAAGTTTACAGCCTGTTTTCATATTAGAATATAATAATATTCAACTAATAAAAAAATAAAATTACAAAGAATAATGTGATTTAAATAATTCATTGTGATAAATGCTTTAAATATGTATATTAAGAGCGCCAACTGATAATATAATTTTATTCCAAGACGACTTGCTACCGGTGGACGCTAAGTCTACTCCGATAATGGATGATTATGAAGATGAGGAATGTGTCGTCGAAGATTACGAGTACCCGGAAGAGGGCGCTGAGGCTTACGTGTCTGAAGCATCTGGGAGCGCGACCCTGGTTAGTTATATTCAGAAACATTAGCATTGAAAACTTTTACTTAAAGTTAAATCTACACCTCATAACTGCTTGAAACAGAACATTTAACTTAGTGAAATCGTCTGAATTAATGTAGTTATAAAACATGTTTAAGAACAAAAGCAAAGTATCAAATAAATAAAACAATCATTTTTAAATTAAATACTTTTAATTAAAACTAATTTATGTATGTACAGTTACAAAACATAAAATAATTAAAAACTTTTGTTACAGTTCCCTGAATTCATCTTTGGTAAGAATTATCGATATTATCATTAGAAGTAATATTTGTATATTTAACTTATTTATATATATGTATAATTGTGTATAATAATATTTTACAGATTTCGACACTACAATATCATCGGATGACACCGGATCTGGATTCGGTACGATTACTACATTTCATACCTAGTAGACTCTATTTTATATTAATTTGAAATGCTGCTTTAAATAGTACATTAAAAATAAATAATATAATAAAGAGTCTGGATAATCAAGATTAATGTAGTACCAAGTATACAGTTTCACATTTCATTAAATTATAATTTGATAAAACTTTTTCTTATTCGTAGATACAACTGGGACTTATGAAACAACAGATATAACTGGTTATACTGAATCAACTGAGACTGATTTAATAGAAGGTAAATCATTTACGTTATTTTAAAAATATAATACCAATATAAATCTTATAAAAATAAAAAAATATATAGTTAATTTAGATTTTTCTACATTATTTTTATTCCTTTAAAACTCTTTAATATTTTGATACTAAATTTATCTTTTATTTAAAACATTTAAGACGATATTATATATTTATTGTTTTGCATTTTGTCTTTGATTTTTTTTGTTATTTAATTTATTACTAAAAATATTGTTATTTATTAGGGTCAGCAAGTGGTTCGACAGAAACAACAGATATAACTTTAGTAACAGAAATTACTACTGAAGGCACAGATTCAACAATAACTGATGACACAGTATCGAGTACAACCGAAAGTTCTGTTACCTCGTCAGGAAGTAGTGATTCCAGTGAAACAGAGAGTACAGATTCAATTTCAACAGAAGAAACAGAATCTACATCCGAATATTCTCTATCTAGTACAACAGAAAGTGGTTTCAGTAGTACAGAAAATGGGCTTAGCACAACAGAAGATGAATTAATAACAGATGAAAGTGAATCCAGCACAACCGAAAGCGGTAGTACAACAGAGAGTTCAACTGAAAAAGATTCTAGCACAACAGAAACTGATTTCGTTAGTACAAGTGGAAGTTCTGAATCTAGTGACTCCAGCACAACAGAAAGTGATTCATCGAGTACAATAGAATCTTCATCAGTAACAAATGATTATGAAACAAGTACAATTATGTCTAGCACGACCGAGGATGAGTTGAGTACACTTGAAAGTGAACCTAGCACAACAGAAAACTATTCGAGTACAACAGAAACTGGGTCCAGTGTGACAGAAAGTGAGTCTACAACTGAGGGTACGGAATCTACCACAATATCAAGTTCTGAATCTGAAAATACAGATGGTAGTACATTAGAATATGATACATCTAGCACACCAGCAACTGATTTATCTAGTACAACGGAAAGTGATGAATCAAGCACCACTGAAAATGTTTTAACGAGCACGACTGAACTGTTAGAATCAAGTTCAACAGAAAAATCAGAATCTATCTCAACAGAAAGTGTTGAACCAAGCACAACAGACAGTAGCGAGTCAAGTACAACGGAAAATGTTGAATTGAGCACTACAGAAAGTAGCCAGTCCACAACGGAAATTTATGTTTCAAGTACATCAGAAAATATATTATCTAGTGTGACCGACGTTAGCGAATCTAGTACTACGGAAGGTGAAGTGTCTAGTTCAACAGGAATTGATGAAACAAGTACAGTAACTGCTTCCGAATCTAGTACAACAGAATCCTCGCTATCTAGTACATCAGAGGAATTTGAAACTACTGAGACTAGTGAATTTTCAACTACGGAAGGTAATTTTAATTTTGTATTTGATGATTAATGAATATTAATGTTATAATAATTGATCATAAAGTCATAAGACATAATAAAATATTTGTTCAATTTACTAAACAGGTTTTAGTGATAGTACAACGGGCGTTAGCAGTACAGAATTTACAGAATCAAGTACAACAGAATCTTCCGATTTTACCTCCAGTGAAGGCTCCACGACAATGGGTAATTATAAGGCGCTCTCTTAAAAGAAATAAATAAAATAATATACATTTATGTTCGTCGTAACGTAATTTATATTTCTTAAAGCAGGTAGCACTGAGTCTAGTTCAGTTACTGAAGAGACAGTTACCGAAGAATCTGTTGCACCAAAATCGAGTATGTACTGTATAATTATCAATATTGTTATCAAATATATAATTTTTATATTATTTTATAAAACATAAATAATTTTAGCACCTTGGGATTGGGCATCAACGATTGAAGTGTTCACAAAGAAACCTTGTAGGCCCAGAAAGAGAACCGCGAAATGTGTCAAAAGTAAATTTGGTTGCTGTCCGGACAAAAGAACACCCGCTGCTGGGCCATTTGACGAAGGTAATTCCAAAGAATACCGGATATTCACATAAATTTAAATGCAAATACTTAAAACTTGTTTCTTTTAGGTTGTCCAAATCCCAAAACATGCAAAGAGTCGAAATTCGGTTGCTGTCCCGATGGTGTTTCACCCGCACCGGAACCGAAAGGCAAAGGTTGTCCAGTCACTCCTTGTAATGAAACGCTTTACGGATGCTGTAAGTCTGACAACATCACCGCTGCTGAAGGTAACAACCAGGAGGGTTGCCCACTACCACCTCCCGCTTGCAAGACATCTGAGTAAGATATATATTATTTTATAATATTATAAACATCAGATCTTCTTGCCTTATTTTACAATATCTGTTTAAGGTTCGGTTGCTGTGAAGATAATGAAACAATTGCTAAAGGTCCCAATAAAGAAGGATGCTCAGAAACAGGTATGGTTAAATTGGAAATGTTAGTTATCTTTTTTACATAGTGTATATTTCGTCTAGTTATAATCATGGTTGCTGCAAAGTAACTGAAGCGTCGGAAATATGTAATTAGAAAAATATTAGTTTCATTTATGTATATCATTTTAACATTTTTTACGTCATACTTAAGCTTTTTCTTAAAAGTTTATTTTTGCCTTTCATTCCATTGATATATATTTATTATTACAATAAAATTTTCCTTAATTAAAGAAAATTCTTAAGAATTTCAGTCTTTAATGTATCTTTTTTTTCTCAATATAATATTGATATCTTCTAAAATATATATTTATAATATTTCAGAAACTCAAAAGCCAACACCAGTGGTTGCAGTGGGATGTGCTGCGTCAGAGTTCGGTTGTTGCTACGACAACGAGACCGATGCCTCTGGTCCAAACGGTGAAGGATGTCCATGCAGTATTAGTGAATTCGGCTGCTGCCCTGATGGTCTTACTACAGGTCAATATTTCACATAGTTCTACACGCAACAAATTGTAATACTTAACTTGTCGTCTTGGTTGTTCTAAAGTTTTTTGTGGATAGCTGTCTATAAGGGATTAATAATAACTCATGGTAAATATTCTTTTGTTTCCAGCTGGTGGCGCCAACATGGAAGGCTGTGTGATGTCATGTAACACGTCGGCTTACGGCTGTTGCCCTGACGGAGAAACTCCAGCACACGGACCGGACTCTGAAGGCTGCTGTGTACAGACGGCGTTTGGTTGCTGTCCTGACAACTACAGACCTGCTGAGGGACCCAATCTTGAAGGTGATAATTATATTCTTGTATGTATGTCAAAATGAGTAAAAGCATCTTCTTCGTGTGAGAAGGTGCCATTGCTCAGTAGTGGGCTCTGATAGGCTGATGGTGATGTATGTCATCTGACGTAAAATGTTCTTCCAGCTAAACAACAAATATTTTACAGATACTGTTATATATTTTATTTTTAAGGCCTAAATTTATAACTATATTTTATGAAGTTAAGAACTCTTTTATAACTTTACTTCAGGTTGTGGTTGTCAATACGCTCGTTATGGTTGCTGCCCTGATAACGTCACAGTCGCCCGAGGACCCAATATGGATGGATGTGGCTGCGCGCACTCTCAATATGGATGCTGTCCAGATAGGTATTATTATTGATATTTATTGCAGTATGGTTTTCTAACCATCTGACATCTGAAGATATAAAATTACGATAGTAAAGAGCGATAGAAAAACCTATTGAAATTTACTTTATTTATCGTTTTTTTCAGGCATACACCAGCTTCTGGTCCCGAATTTGAAGGATGTGGTTGTCACACGTATCAATTTGGTTGTTGTCTGGACGGTGTCAGTATCGCTTCAGGTCCTGAGATGCAGGGATGTCGTTGTGTGGACTCCAAGTATGGATGCTGTGGAGATGAAAAAACTCACGCCAAGGGACCCAATAACGAGGGATGTGATTGTTCAAACAGCAAATATGGCTGTTGTCCTGATGGCGTCACTGAAGCTCAGGGTGAAAAGTTCCTTAACTGTACCGACGCACCGATAAATAGACAAGGTACATCCTAATTTTAATACAGACAGAGTAATCACACATTATATATATTTTTCAACCCTTAACGTTCCTTATTTCAGCGGCCTGTGGACTTCTTAATGAAGGAGGACCATGTCGCAATTACTCAGTTTATTGGTTCTACGATACGGCCTATGGCGGATGTTCACGATTCTGGTACGGTGGCTGTGAAGGCAACGGTAACCGGTTTCTTAGTGAGGAGGAATGTAAAGATGTGTGCGTTCAGCCATCACCCAAAGGTTGGTTATTGGAAAAATCAAAAGACAATAAGAAATAGATAATAAGAATATTTATTATTGACTAATGTTATTTTCTCTTCAGACGCTTGTAATCTTCCAAAAGTCAAAGGAGCGTGTCAGGGTTACCACGTCCGTTGGTATTACGATTCAGAACGTGAGCAGTGCTCCCAGTTTGTATTCGGTGGATGTCTCGGTAATGCCAACAATTTCGACACCAAAGAGCTCTGTCAGGAACGCTGTGAACCCGAGAAAACTGAAGGTAGTTTTACATTTGTGTAAACCATATTAATATTCTTTGTTTTGTCTTCAATAATAGTGTTTTCTTAGATAAATGTAACTTACCTATCGAGCGTGGTCCCTGCGCCGGTAACTTTGCCCGTTGGGGCTTCAGTCCGGAGAGAAGACGTTGCGAGCAGTTCGTCTGGGGAGGCTGCGAAGGGAACGCCAATCGATTTAATTCAGAAGCTGCCTGCCTGTTACAGTGTGATCCGCCCGGAACTCCAAAACGTCTGTACAATTTGAATTACATATTTATTAGGTTTGCGTTGCTAGTTTCTGTCATTGCAATGATTTTTAATTCTATTCCTTCCTCTTTGATACTTAATTTCTGGTAATGGTTTTCTATTAATCCTTCTTATGTAGTTAGCACTGACGATTACAGTTTACTTTTTACTAGCATAACATATATGAGATTAATAAAACTTCTAATATTATGCTAGTTTTTTACTAACATGGTTGCACGGTACAGAAGCATGCTCGCAGTTACAAGATGTAGGAAACTGCACTGAGAAGCATGCGGTGTGGTCGTTTAGTCAAACAGAGAACCGCTGCGTGCCCTTCTATTACACTGGCTGTGGCGGCAATGATAACCGCTTTGACAGTGAAGGTTCATGCGCCAAGAACTGTCCTGGTGTTTATGGTTAGTAACAGTAACTTAGACAGAACTTTTCAGCTATCCAGCAGAATGATTATTAAGAATTAGTTTTACCAAGTGAAGCATTGAGGTACTATGGTGTATGTTCATAAATCTCTGAAGGAACAATAAATTGATACAATAACAGTTCACTTACGCTGAAGATTTACGAACAAGACATTTGTTTATGTAGAAATTATCAATAATAATGAATACGGTGTGGCTCTTGTATGTCAAACTATGTAATATGAACTAACTTTTATTTTCAAATATTAACTGTACTTATGCACCGATTACAACATTTTTATATACCACCTAAAATATGTTTATTTATTTTGGTTTGTGTATTTAATAACATCTGTATATTACGTGACATATTATCCTTTATATTTATTAAGCAAATTTAAATTAATTTTCATGTTAGTTATAATTTAAAATTTCTAAATAATTTATGATATTTTAATGCGTTAGTTTTTCAGGTAATAAATGATTTTAGTATAAAATTTTCATAAAATTACAGAGAAAGAAATATGTACTCTACCTGCTGTGACCGGTGAGTGCGCGGACTATACACAAAGATGGTTCTTCGACACTACGAAGCAGAGGTAATGCATTATGTACATACAAAATAATAAATGAAGTAAAAACGATACTAATAATTATATTATATTTAAAAGATGTCGCCCATTCTACTACGGCGGGTGTGGTGGTAACGAAAATAACTTCTACTCTGAAATGGAATGTGAGACTCGGTGTTCGGATCAACCGGTCACAACAACTGTTCAGCCGCTCACGATGCCAACCACACAAACACAACCGAGCGTCCTTACGACGGAGAGATCTGGTACGTACGAAGAAAAACTTTATAAGTAACTACCTGCGCCCCGCGGTGTTATCCGCGGATTACCGGGATGTAAAGTAGCCTATGTGTTATTCCTAGACATCAGCTTCCTGTATACAAAATTTTAACAAAATCGTTTCAGCCGTTTGAGCGTGAAGAAGTAACAAACACACACACGCTCACAAACTTTCGCAATTGTAATATTAATAGGATTCCATATTATTTTAAGTAATATTTTTCCAGAATTCTGTTACCTGGAAATCGACAGCGGTCCATGCACGCAGCCACAGACTCGTTATGCGTTCGACGCTTCCCGCGGTACGTGTGTTCAGTTCCAATATGGCGGCTGTGGTGGCAACAGGAATCACTTCCCAAGCCTCGAATACTGTCAATACTATTGCGGAGTTGGTCAAGGTATGTACTCTATGTATTAAATTTTTCTTTAAAAGAGGATTATTATAATTGATTACATTTTTAGATGTATGCCAGCTGCCGTTCGCGGAGGGTCCTTGCGACCAGTCGATCATGCAGTGGTTCTATGATGCTACTTCCGACTCTTGCAGTCAATTCACATACGGAGGTTGTGAGGGCAACGGGAACAGGTAATATTAGATAATAGTAAAAATATACCAATTGAAGTAGTATATTCAAATTGTGATTTTTTGTTATAAGGTTTAATTCACTCGAGGAATGCGAAAACCGATGTCGTCAAAGACTTCCAGCTACGACGACAACATCGTCTTCTACTACTGTGACACCGGTGAGGATTTTTATATATATACTAGAAGCCCTGGCGAACTTCGTATCGCCCTATAATCAAGAAATATCTGTTACGTTTTTTTATTTATATTTTTGGAGTTTAAATATTAAAGCCATAAATCTCCGCGTTTTGAAGTGCGACGCTATTGATTGACATATTTGTTGTGTTGTTTGTATCAACAACTACTAATAAATTAAAAAATTAATTAAAAAATAGTGTAGTGTCCAGCGGACAAAATAGTGAATCTAAACCATTCCTAGACCCCCTTGAACACATACAAAAAATTTCATCAAAATCTGTCCAGTCGTTTGAGAGAAGTTCAGTGACATACACACTCACAGAAGAATTATATATATTAAATACTACTTAAAACTAATTACTTTTATAACTCAACATATTGTACAGGAGTATGTTCCGGCCAAATGTCAAGTGTCTCCGGCGTTAGAGGAGTGTCGGGAGAGCGGCGAGGTGTGGTATTTAGACCAGGAGCTACGTGCTTGTGTATCATTCATTAATGAGGCCGAGGGCTCACGTTGTAGACACACGGGGGCCTTCAACTCTCAAGAAGCGTGTGAGCGAGCTTGCGGAGCATTCCGAGGACTCGGTATATATTCTATAACACATATTATTATGAGTTATTTTTGTACGTTTTATTATGATGATAAAAAAACAAGCATAATAATGAAAATACGTGTGTCAGACAACCTGTCCATATATTTATATAACCTACAGATGTTTGCCGCTACTCCCTGGATCCGGGTCCTTGTCGCGAGATAGTTCCCAAGTACTATTACAATGAAGCCACGGGCCGCTGTGAATCATTTACATACGGAGGTTGTCACGGTGGACCCAACCGCTTCTCTACTCTTGAAGAATGTGAACAAATATGCAGACCTAACATTGGTGAGACTTGAAATTTGTAATATTAACAATATAACATAACTAGCTTTCCGCCCGCAGCTTCGCCCGCGTGGAGTTCGGATATATCGCGTTTCCAAGAAAACTTTTCAAAAGTCTGGGATAAAAACTACCCTATGTTCTTCCTCAAGGTCACTTCTATCTCCGTACCAAATTTCATTAAAATCAGTTTTGTGGTTTAGGCATGGAAGCGTAACAGACAGACAGAGTAACTTTCGCATTTATAATATCAGTAGGGATTTCTAATAAATCGGTGACAGTAATTGTTAAAATGTTACTAATTTATGTTCCAATTGTTTAGACCCTTGCATCCAATCTCCTGAATCTGGCAACTGCTTGGCTTACTTTGTCATGTGGTACTACGATAGCGCTCGGGATGAATGCGGTCAATTTGTGTATGGAGGATGCAACGGCAATGATAATAGATTTGAAACTCAAGCAGAATGTGAAGGACGGTGCAAGAAGGGAACTGTTACTACTACAGCCTTCACGTTAGCCTTGGTTCCGTCAACAACGACATCGACTTCGACCTCGACAACTACTACGACGACTACGACCACCACACAAGCGCCATCACCTACACCACAGTTTGTAAGTTTGTACAAGATAACATATATATTGAGGAATTAAAAATAAATTTACATCCAAAACATTAATAGATAAATATCAAAAAGATTCATATTTTATTTTATTTATATTTTTTAGATAGTAGAAGCGGAATGCTCAACACCAGAATCATTGGCGGTGTGCGGCGAAAATATTACGGTGTATTACTTCGATACTAGGACTCAGGCTTGCTTGGCCGGAGATTTTGGTGGCTGTAGGTACGCGAACAGCTATCGCACTGAAGAAGAGTGTCAGAGACGGTGTGGTGCCTTCAGAGGACTTGGTTAGTAAAGAATTTAAATACTGCTCTAAAGTATTTCCTTTTGTGTTTCTATTTCTTTATTCTTATATTGTAATCAGACGTTTGCGGCTCTCGTCTCGACCCTGGTCCTTGTTTGAACACCATTCCTAAATTCTACTGGGATCCACTCTCTGGCCGATGTCTGAGCTTTGCTTACGGAGGCTGTCACGGTGGACCGAATCGCTTCTCCACTGTAGAAGAATGTGAAGAAATCTGCGGAGCGACCGGACCAGGTACAATTTTTCAAGCCAAAAATTCCATATTTTGATTTCCACACAAAACTCTATTGCGGTTTGTTTATAATCTATTGGGGATATAATCAATAGGTTTCGCTTATGCATAATTCTTTAAAATTCAGTAGATTTGATTCGAGCCTTCCAGTAGTTAGTTTTATAACATTTAACCTGGCTTGGAAGCTATAACGTTGCTCGTTCCTAACTCGTGGGGCTTGGTGATGGGGTGTGGGGACTAACACGGTGAGGTGGTGGGGCAGAAGCGCGTTGTCTGCTGCCGGTGTCGACGGGCGCTCCGGGCTGTGGGGTCCCCTCGCGGCGCTGGTACTACAGCGTCAGCTTCGGGGACTGCCTGGCTTTCGTCTACTCTGGATGTGGCGGCAACGAAAATAACTTCTACACTTACGAAGAGTGCGCTGCCTGCAAGAGTGATTACTTGATCCCCGGTATATTGCGATAACTGTACGGCACCTCCGCTTTGCGATAGCTCCGCCGCACTTTTAGGATGAAATGTTTTATTTCGTCAAAATTGAAAATAATTGTCTTATGCCTTTATGGTATTTTTAATTTGATTAGAATAAAGTAACGAAATAAAACATTTATCATTGTGCATCAAGATTCTTAAGGACATCGTCGTGAACTGCTATTGCAACTATCTGCACTGCTTGCTCGCTTGCTTGTCTTTTTGTTTCTCACACTATTAGCACATCTTCATATGATAATTTAAAAATAATATAGATCTTTATGAAAAGTTGAAAGGACTGAGTTGGACGTAGAATGTATTCCGTTCCTGTGTTACTTTTCTGAGTGATTCGCATGAAAAATAATACAAAAAAAAACTTATTCCGATATATCCACAGATCAAGAAACAGGCAACGAAGTTTTACCCGACTGTGATGATTTCAATGCGGAGTGCGCGGCTCTGGAGTGCAAGTATGGAGTGCAGAGGATACGCGTGGGAGGAGGATGCGAGCGATGTTCATGTATCGCGCCGGAGGTCGACTGTGAACTGTTAGCCAAGGAATGCAAGAACCTCAAGTGTACTTATGGACTCCAGAAGACTACTGACGAAGATGGCTGCGAGAGGTGATGCGAAACCGACGTGACTTGTACTAACTATATATAAACTTATAAATAACATGTTAATTTTCAATCGGTAGGTGCAATTGCATCGATCATCCTTGTGCCAACAAGGAGTGCGAAATTGGAGAGCGTTGTGTTGCAACACCTTACAGAGACGCAATCTCGCAAGAAATTCTATACTCCTCTGACTGTAGAATTGGTATACATTATAGTTTTCCTATGAAATATTTTGATTAAATATGAGAAATTATATATTTTGATATTCGTCCAGCAAACAAATCTGGATCGTGTCCATCGGAGGCTGTGTCATTGACAGCGACAGAGAGTCAGTGTAGGCGTCAGTGTAACGACGACGCAGACTGCCCTGGTGTAGGGAAGTGCTGCGAGCGTGGCTGTAGTCATCTGTGTATGGAACCAGTAACACCTAGCAGCCCCACGGCACGACCTGTGCCTATCTATGTACCTGGTTAGCTAATATTTGATTCATCTTGTTAGATCAATTCGTAGATGGAAATGTATCTTATTTTTGTATAAAACTCTATTTGTGTCTCATTATTATTGTAAATTATCAGAACTGCCCCAAGTGCCATACGCGAATGAGGCGACCGAACCGGAGGTCCATGCGACTCTAGGTAGTAGGGTCACTCTACGATGTTTGTTCCACGGCAACCCTCCGCCGAAGATCACCTGGCAGCGAGGACAGATCACGGTACACTAAATAATATTTTTAACCAATCGAAATGAAATTCTTTCTTCTTCAATAAGAGTCATTTCAATTTTATATTCCACACTAAAGTTATTTTACTGCTAAGTTAACGAATGTTTTATGGAATTGTAAGTTTCTAGTAATGTGTATTAAATTTCTTTCATATCATAGATCGAAGGAGACGTTGGTCGGTACCGACTAATGTCTGATGGCTCGTTGGAGATCGTTTCTCTTTATCGTAACGACTCCGGGGTCTACATCTGCGTAGCTGACAATGGACTCGGCATAGCACGACAAGAAATCAATCTTCAGGTTGAAGGTAAGTTTGAATTCGGTAAGAGTAAGTTATGGTCAAGTTGAGTATGACAAATGTCATTAAACAATATTCCCGCTCACCTCGACCTTCACAATCAGCTATTTATTTTAAGATAACTTTTCATTGAACTCGGGATTTAAACATCTAAACATTTGAAATGGCATGTTATAGAAATTGCATTTTGATTTTCTCTCTCTTATAAATAGATCGCAATAGTTTGAAGTAGTACTAGTTTTATTAGCATTTTTTTTCTAGTAGTTATAGCTTTCCTACCACAACTATCTTTCTGCACTCTTTTTTACTTTTATAATTATTTAACATAAAAACACACGATCACTGAAAGTTTAACGTGCTGTCAATGTAATGTGATATTCTATTGATTAACTAGTAAAGATAATTTGGTCCGCAGTCGATGTACGAATATTTAATATTTTGATATAATTCCAGCTGACATAATTATAGAATGATAATATAATCTGCGACGGAAATGCACAATATTATTATGTAGAATTGTTGTGTTTTATAAAAAAAAACTTTTTATGTAACTTAATAAACAACTGATACTTTTGGTTAGCCACTATCGTGAATTTTAAGAAATTAATCTAATGTTCATTATTCTTCTTGTATTTACGATCCGAATAAAGAAAGTGTAAGACTGAAATTAGAAATTTGAAACATTCGCAACAAATGTAATTTGATGTCTATTGATTTTCTATTTAAATTAAATAAATTTTCCTGAATCATTAGTTTCTTTCGTCGGTGACATTGTTGAAACAAAATAAAACAAATTCGTTATCTCAATTAACAAAGTACAATGAAGTTCAAATGTTAACAAACGCGACTTGTTACATTTTGTCATCGGACGTCCGTTATATTTCGCAGTCAACAATCTTTTATCTAAACATACATTAGTGTTAGTGGTCACTGGTCACTGGGCACTGGGAACCTCGCGGGCGGACACATGAGATCCATCCACGGTCAGACAGACATGTTGCTATCAGTGCTCGTGTGTTGTGTGCTCGCGTGCGCAGGCGCAAATCAAGGTTATATTTTTTATTAACACAGGTTTTGGACGGTTATGTTTTGTTTTGGATTCTCTTAAAATTTTATGTGAATCATGATTAAGTAATACGAGAGAATCCAGAACACAGGTTTTTTGTTAATTTGGCTTATTAGATTACTAATAACGGTTTGTGGAATGTTTCCTTTATAGAATCATGATATCCATCTTTCGACTAAAAATATTTGTTTTTAAAGTATGCACTATACATTTTAAAATCATTGGTTGGGGTACTTCATTCACGACGGCATTGAATATAAGACTTTGTGCTCGTGATTCATAAAACGTGTTGTGAATGATCATTCCACAAACAGTAGTATGTAGTCACTAACAAGGGGGATGTTAGATGGAGTGGACGGCCCGGCGGGCATAGCTGGCCTCACTGACACCGTGGTGGTCGGGGAGCTGGGCCAGCCGCTCAGCGTCAGGTGCATGGCTTACGGATACCCGACGCCCTCGATATACTGGTACCACGGAAGAAACGGACCCATGGTGCCCTTCAGCAGCCCGCAGTATGAAGCCAGAGATAACATCCTACAAATAAGGAAACTGTCCATTGATACACTCGGAGAATACATCTGCCAAGCTTACAACGGAATCGGGAAACCTGTGGACTGGGCTTTAATAGTACAGGCGTATAGATCCGATGATACCGAGAACTCGCCGTACTTGGTGTCACGACAACATGAAGTATTGATAACGCCTAGGGAACCTCAGACCGAAGCCACAACAACGATCGCTCCGGAAATTGAGATTCCTGTCTACACCGGTAAGAGCGGACCTAATTATGATTCCAACAAAAATATTCCTTCATAGTTCACATATAAAAATATATGTATATTTTTTATTATGAACAAAAAATTAATAAGGATCATTTTTGTTAGAATAATATTAATGTCGTGCATGTTTTTTGAGGTAATACTAGTTTAACGCATGTTGCTTGCATGATAATTTCTTTTCAAATTCTAACGATAACATTATAATTATCTCCTATCTTTATAATTACCGGCTTCTGAGAACACGGGTTATCGGCGATTCATTACGTATATCCAATAACAAGTTCAGAGAAATTCATTACATATTATGTTAATTGTATGCTTTGGTGTTCAATGTTAAGATAAGATTATGTAAAATATATATTTTGTTTACTTGTTATTTGTTACTTTAGTATTATATATCTCATTCAAGGTAGGTATGAGTTATTGTATGTAATATAAGTGTTCAAAATTATAACTGAGTTTATAAAACAGTTCCCGTTACAACTCGTATTGTGTCTGAACGCACGCGGCTGGCGGCCGGATCGGAGCTGAATCTGTTGTGTGAAGTCGATGGTTACCCTGTGCCTGAGGTCTACTGGACCAAGGATACAGTCAGAATAACTTCCGATGAGAGAATCAGAGCCACAGGTTCGTTCTTAGAAATATGTTAATTAATTCCACATACTTGGAGTAAAAACTACATGTGTAGCGATATATGATTATTCAAAAAAATAGTTCTTATTATTTAGAATCTGAAAAATTGTAATGTGAGAATAATTACGGTCAGAGTCAGCTGTCATAACTATGTCGATGTTTAGAATTTTCACAATCATTTGTAACAAAAACTTGATGTAGTTTTATCAATTGCAATGTCACCATTTCTTACATGAAATCGTATTTATAGAGGCGCGATTGACGGTGATGAGAACGAACACTAACGACTCCGGCGTGTACAGCTGCCACGCATTCAACGCCTATAACTCTCATTACTCCAGTGTGGAGATCAGCGTTGAAGGTTTGTCCTATATATTAAATACTAATCCTTTAAAATGACTTCCATTATATTGAATAATATCTGTTTTAAGGTCTGTACATTCCACCCACGTGCAAGGATAATCCGTACTTCGCCAACTGTCACCTCATAGTACGCAGCAAGTTCTGTCACCACAAATATTACTCCGGGTGAGGAAAATGCGATACATTACGATCATAAGATTTACTAGAATTTTACAGAATTAATTCCATAAATATGTTGGTGTTTTATATCACGGCTTTAAACATTTTTATTGTGCAGATTCTGCTGCAAGTCTTGCGTGGAGGCTGGTCAGTTGGACCCTCGAGAGATGGAGCTGCAAGCGGACAGCCCTCTGTACCGAAAGTAGTCGGGACTAATTTAGAGACTATTCACTTATTGGCTTAGTAGTAGCTCTAGTGTAACACACACTAATTGTTTTAATTTTAATTAAATAATAAAATATTAAATTAAATTTGAATAGTCTCGCTGCGTGGACATCGCAATCGTTGATACTCATTTGGTGGTGCCATATTAGAATCGACCAAACACAAAGCACTCCCGCAACATAACATAATTACCATAGATAACTAATTATTGTAGATAAAGACGTCAATGTAAATAATGTTTGTCACAAAAGCTCCATCTGTGATGGAAGTCGGAACTAAATCGGATAAGAAACAAGTATAGAGGCTTAAGTCGACTACGTAAGGTATAATTTGTAACTTTATAATTTGTGTTCTTAGCCTGTACTTAGAGATCTGTTGTTAACGGATTCACATATTTTTTTACTGTTTTAAACTTAGTATAGATAGTTAATAAATATGAAATGTTATTTCACTCCCCGTCATCAAGTGGCTTGTGTGCAATCAAAGTAACTGAACGATGAAATGATCGAGTCTGGAATACACAGTTATTTATTTCTTAATAAATATTATAATAATTGTAATTGTGAGACATAATAATTTGTGTATGTGATTTTTTTATCAACAGTGTAAATAAAAATAAATCCCTTTTAAGTATAAAATTCGTATCGTTGCTTATCCTACACCCTCCGCATGATGAAATGAATAGCCAATATAATAAAAGAAAAAAATAAAACAAAATAATAGCAATAACATAAATTTTTATTTACATCCCGAATTTCACAATCAAATAGATAACAACTAAATGTTCTATTACCTGACAATGAAAATACAGAGACCATGAGGTACTTTGATGATTTCTCATATGATCCGTCTTGATCCGGATCGATCCGGCTCGATCCTACATCTGCTGCATACTAATTTGTATAATTTATAGTCGCTCCATAACTCACGCGGGCCAAGGAGCCGCGCGGAGTGCGAAGCGTAAATATGTTCTTAATTACAGAAATTAAAACAAAATAAAAGTTTATATACATCAAATTATAATTTAATATACATAGAGGTCACTCGCCGCGGGCGCGGGACGTTATCACAATATGTCAAAATAAAGGAGCCGCGGGGCGGCACGTGTATAAGTCTAATAAAAACATTAATAAGAAACTGACAACTGTTACTATGTCGTAAGTAATGTACAGTCGGGTCGCCTCGGGTCCCGGTCGCGTTGTAAATGCATCCCGACGTGACGCCCGTACATCGTGCGGCGTTAACGTTACGTCACTACACACTATCCGTACAGACTCAGTCCAGTACTTGAGACACGATCTTCTCCATGTCGTGGTCTATGTCATACGAGGGTGTGTCGGGGGCGGGCGGAGGGGGAGGTGCCGCGGGCGGGGTCCCGGCGGGGGGCGGGGAGGGCGCCGCGGGCAGCTGGAACGGCTCATCGAACTCCTCTAGCCCCGCCGGTACGGGCAGCTTGGCCAGCTCCTCTTGTAACTTGACGTAGTGCCGCTACAATAGTATATAATATATAAGTTTAAAACATTTCTTTCTTTCCTGTTTATAGACACACAACCTATCAAAAACATATTTGTAAAGAAGTACATCTGTTCGCATGCCCAAGTGGCCAGTATGTTATCAGTACTCTCCCCACCTTAAGCGCCATCAGGTTGAGCTGTATGCTCCTCTGCGTCCGCTCGTCCCCCGTCTGTCCCTCCAGCTCCGTGATCCAGTTTGCCACCGTCTGCATGATCTCGTTCCGCTTCATCCAGAAGTGTGTCTGTATCACCTGCAACAAGATATATCACGATGTATAAGAAACGATTCATACAACGAGTACTGTTATTAATTATTTTTTTATGGAAGGGTAGCAAACAACAAGACGGCCTACTTTATGGGAAGTATATAGTCGCCGTCGCTCATGTAAATCAGCAACAGAGATGCCAATCTTACTTGTTCAGGAAAAGGGAGGGGTGGGAATAAGGAAATGGCAGGAAAGGATGGAAATAGGGAAAAAGCAACCGGTTCTCTTAGGCATCGGACGTAACGTAGCCATTAATGACTACTTCACGCCGACCTTCTGTGAGAGGGTGGTACTTCCCCGGTCGAGCCAGCCCATTTCCGAACTGTAGTAACTTGACAACAGCTAGGCTTTACCACCATTTAAAATGTAATGTTATTATTATTAATAGACCAGTGCCGATAGCTTTTAAAACATAATTAAATTACACTAGAATGAAATCCATTAGAAAAGGAGGATAATAAAATAAAAATTAAAGGAAAAATAATTTACGGGCGATCTGAGGTCGGGAAGGGTATGGGGATGGGTAATTAAGGGTATGGGCATGGGTAATTAAGGGTATGGGCATGGGTAATTAAGGGTATAAATGGGTTTCTTAGATTTCCGGCAAAACTAAAAGTCCTACGGAAAAATGTTATATGGCAAAGTTATAGGTTATAAAAAGATCTAAAACTTTTTTATTAACATTTTTTTCAAATAACCTCAAATTTTATGTGAAAAATTCAAAAAGCCAAGTTTTTGGTTTTTTATTTTTATTTCTTACCAAAAATAAAATTTTGTCACGAAATTTGATTAAAACTTTTCTTTTGATGTCCCACATACACTGTAATTTATTTTATTAGAAATATTTTTTTTTTCAGCTTATTTTGAATAAATATCGAAATATCAGCCTCATTTTCAATCGAAAAATCAACCGTCAAAATATCAGCTATTTTCAAAAATTTGGTATGTTTTCCATTTGTTGAAACCTCTTTTTTTGATGGTAAAGAAAAAACTATAAGTTTCTTACTTAGAGTCCCATTTTTGGATAAAATAATCATGTCTCTTTTAATGAAATGTCACTCGACATCGTTTTGAAAATGCTCTTTCTAATTTATTTTTAACAGTTGTGAACTCTGGAAGTCCTCCAGATGGTCCCTCTTTTAGGTTATTTACAGAAAATTGACATTAAGCTGCTAAAACTATTAAAAATAAAATGGAAAAGGCATTTTCCAAACGATATCGAGTGTCATTTCATTGAAAGGGACATGATTATTTTATACAAAAATGTCAATGTAAGTAAGAAAGTTACATTTTTTTGTTCAGCATGTGAAAATAAAGATTTCACCTAACAAAAAATACAATAAATTTTCGAAAAACGCTGATATTTTGACGGGTGACTTTTCGATTGAAAATGATGATGACAAAAAATTGTTTTTTGGAAGAGATAAAAATAAAAAACAAAAAATAGGTTTTTTTGAATTTTTCACATAAATTTTGAGGTTATGAGAAAAAAATGTTAGTACAAAAGTTTTAGATCTTTTTATTACCTACACTACAACTTTGCCACATAACATTTTTCCGTAGGACTTTTAATTTTGCCGGAAATCGAGAACACCCATTTTGTACCCTTAAATGCCCTTCCCGACCTCAGATCACCCGTAAATTATTTTTCCTTTAATTTTTATTATATTATCCTCCTTTTCTAATGGGTTTCATTCGACTATAATTCATTTTCACTTTTCTTCAATTTTAGAGGCATCTGCACTGGCCTATATAACAGTAGTTATCGTTACCTCCTTGAAGCAGGGCTCGGGCGCCCGCAGCTGGTCCAGCATGGCCCAGCGCACGCACGCCTGGTATATGTTTGAATTGTACTCGAGGCTGGCGCTGTTGCCTACTCGTGTGCCGCGACTCCGCTCGTAGCCCGGCTCATTGAAGTACGGCTCCGGCACCAGGATCAGCGACTGGATGGACACCAGCACCTGCGACACACATTACGTATTAACATACAACTACATAGCTACACTATTAACTATCATGAAGTTAGTTCAAGGTGGCATGTTAATCGATAGCTATGTTCAAGTATTTTTATATTTACATATAGCCATGGTAATCAGTAATATTGTGTTGTATCAGTAATAAGTGTTGTCAATTGAAAATCTCTAAATATATTTAAAAACCGATAAAGAACCCATATATTAGAAGATTTCACTGATCTTGTTTAATATCACTACTGTTTATTATTTGTAATTTTAATAGCAGTTATAGTTTTTAAAATTTCCTTTGTGAGCGAACTTTGTTCTTTTTGAAAATAAACTTCTTTAAACCTAATATTATAACGACCTGTAGGAAGCTGGAAGTGTGCGCGTTCCACTTCTCCTCGGGGCGGCCGTGCCACGTGTTGAGGACGGAGAGGCAGACCTTCCCGTCGTTGTACAAGTTGGGGTTGAACCGCACCGAGTGGCGGCCCGTGGTCTCCAGGTTGATGAGCATGGGCACGGCGGGGTACTCCGCCGGGAAGTACACGTCCAGGATGAAGCAGCCGTTGGCGTACGGCGTGTCCGACGGACCCGTTATGAGCACCTGCCACGGAAATATCATCATTATCAACCTATCAGAGCCCACTGTTGAGCAAAAGCACATGGAGATTTGAGCATTAATCACTACGCTCGCTCAAGAAGGGTTGGTGATTTCAAACTTATAATTCAAAATTATAAGTCCAGGTTTGTCAGTGGTGTCTAAATATTCTTAGAAAGTATATATGACTCGGAAAAATCACATTGATATAGTGCTTTTGATTTAGGCTGAGCTTTGTATTTGTGTGAGTGCACACGGATAGTGTGTGATGTCAAATTTTTTAATGGCACGTGCTTTTCCAGTTTTGAACCGGTACATACTGCTTTTACTCCGCCCCGCACCTTCCTCACTTCACCCTTTGTAATGGTAGCAATGTCAAATGTTGAAAATGCAAAGTCAAGTGAAGAAGAATTTGTATAGTTTTTTCCATAATATTTCCATTTGGCCTTTTACAAGTTTTGCTTATATTAATAGAATAGCACTTATAGACCAGTGCCGATAGCTTTTAAAACATGATTAAATTATAGTACAATGAATCTCATTACAAAAGGAAATTCATTATAAAAATTAAAGGAAAAATAATTTACGTGCGATCTGGGGTCGGGAAGGGTATGGGGATGAGTAATTAAGGGTATAAATGGGTTTTTTAGATTTCTCTTACAATTTATTTTTAATAGTTTTAGCAGCTTAATGTCAATTTTCTGTAAATTAGCTTAAAGAGGTACCATCTGGAGAACTTCCAGAGTACACAACTATTAAAAATAAATTAGAAGGAGCATTTTCAAAACGATGTCGAGTGACATTTCATTAAAAGAGACATGATTATTTTATCCAAAAATGGTACTGCAAATAAGAAACTTATATTTTTTTCGTCACCATTGGAAAATAGAGATTTCAATAAACAGAAAACATACCAAATTTTAGAAAAGAGCTGATATTTTGACGGGTAATTTTTCGATTGAAAATGAGGCTGATTTTTCGTTATTTATTCAAAATAAGTCGAAAAAATAAATATTTGTAATCAAATAAATTATAGTGCATTTGGAACATCAAAAGGAAAGTTTTCACCAAATTTCGTGAAGAAAAATTGATTTTTGGAAGAGAAAACAATAAAAAACCAAAAACTTGTTTTTTTGAATTTTTCACATAAATTTTGAGGTTATGGGAAAAAAATGTAAATACACAAGTTTTAGATCTTTTTATAACCTACAACTTGGCCATATAATTTTTTTTAGTACCTTTAGTTTTGCCGGAAATCGAGAAAACCCATTTTTTACCCTTAAATACCCATCCCCATACACTTCACGACCTCAGATCGCCCGTAAATTATTTTTCCTTTAATTTTTATAATATTCCCTTCCTTTTGTAATGAGTTTCATTCTACTATAATTCATTTTCACTTTTCATTAATTTTAAAGGCTTCTGCACTGGCCTATTATGTTATGTATATATTTAAAATGTAATAAAATTTAATTCTAAAAGTTTTTGTTTAACTCTACTTTTACTTTCACTCACACAAATGCAAAGCTCAGCTTCATTCTAACGGACTATACTTTCAAGGTTTCGAACCCGCGACCTTATGCATGAGAGGCGGGCCTTTAACCACTAGGCCATCACGAGTTTTTAAAACAATTTGTCAGGGTTAGTGCAAAAGACCGCGCAACTAGCATTGGATAATTCCGCTTATCTACATTGGAAGCAGATTATCAGAAGAAAGTTTTAGCTGATATATTTTTTTTATAAAAACGAGTTTTAAGAAAAAAAATTCACGATTATTATGTAATTATTTACTGTTTAATTTATTACTAATTGTGAAAAAATTAACCTAAAAGTCTTTAATATATAAAATATTTCAGCTCAAACTTTCTTCTGATAATCTGCTTCCAATGTAGATACGCAGAATTATCCAATGGTAGTTACGCGGATTTGCACTTCTTCAACCTGGCAATTTCCCAGCTTTTAGCAAGTGTCTGCCTTACATGTTGTGAATAGTTTTGGCTATTTTTTTACTGCCTGCCTGTCTGACATCAACCGTCTTTGGGAATGCATTAATCAGCGATGTCTAAATACTCTTAGAAAATACATATTACTTGGAAAAATCACATTGGTATACAGGATCGAACCCGCACCCGCATGCATGAGAGGCGGGCCTTTTAACCACTAGGCCACCACTGACTTTTTGCACTATGTGAGTGTTACCTTCATAACGTCGAGACGGTCGGCGTCTGTCCTCACGAACACACTGGAGGAGTATGAAAGCGGTAGGCTGGTGGCGAGGGTAGCTGCCTCTTGAGCCAGCCTCTTCATCCTCGCGGGGTGCGCTCGCTCGCCCGCCGCCCGCACCGTGCTCTCGAAGTGATACGGCACCGTGAACCGGAACCCGCCCTCCGGACACTCGCACATCATCTCGAACGGCTCTGGAATCATATGGTTTAATAATTATATAACTGAAAGTTTAACGGTTTATTATATCTCTGGAGGGTTAATTTAACTAAGCTTCAATATTAAATATAATAGAATAGAATAACAGATTTTTGTATTTTTACAAATATGTAGGTTTTGATGTGACCAGAAAACGTGATGAGTCCATTTTTTTAATTAATTGTTTGGTGGCCATAGTATATTCAACATTTGATATAAATTTTCATATAATAAAAAAATACGATCTGTTGACCAAGTGATATTAAGATGAATGTATATATAGATGCTCACCGAACTGCATGGTCCTCATGAGGTGTATGTACCTCTGTTCCCGGGACACGCCCCTCAGAGGTCTCGCTACTCCAGCGCCCTCTGACTCCGCTTCAGATCGATACATCAATGCCGACGTCGCCTATGTAACACGTTTTAAAACTTAGTGATTAAGACTTAGACCTCTCGTTTGATAGCTCAGAAATACTGAACTTAAAAATTGATTTACAAACACAAATGCTATAAATGATTTACTAACAATCTTACATGTAACATATACAGGGTGACTGGTGATTTACTATCAATATTTAAGGAGAATACTCGGTACATGATTCTCATTCGAATTATGTAAAAAAAATAGATACTTAATTTTTTACCAAATTTCCGTATAAATAAATAAAGTGTGGACACGTTCCAAGTGTTCCAAGTGTGCGGCGGCGTGCTGATGCAACACCACGCCGCCGCACGTGTGTGTGTGTGTGTGTGTGTATACTTAATCTGAAGGGTGTTCACACGATGCGTAATTAATTACATAACTTTTGGTTAACTTTACTTAGAAGTTTATTAATATTTATGTTATATTAATTTTTATTTTGTCATATACGATCGTCAAATATCACGTCCTCAAGTATCGATAGTAATTCACCAGTCACCCTGTATAGAAGCATCATATTTAGCTAGTATGTTGTGCATTTTGATTTCTTGTCTTTCTGTGACACGGGCTTCATTTAAAGTTTAAACATTTCTACAACGATCTCTCAGTCGCTATTCTTATGGGTGTACATACTACCCCATGTGTACATGTTAATCATCACCTGTATATCAGCGATGAGCAGCGCCAGACCCTCGTCTTCCTCGGACAGCTCAGAATTGGTCGTCGTGTTAAATCTTTGGCTGTACGTCATTTTACCGAATATGTTCTTCTTGCTCATTCTAAAGGGATAATAGAATAATTTAACAAGCTTTCTTCGATGAATGGACAATATTTAAGTTACTGTTGTAATATGTTTTATCTAATTTTCCAAAAGAAAAAAATATATTAAAATCCACTATGTCTTTCACATTTACTAAACTCTTAAAATATAAAAGAACTCCAAAATTTACTAAAAATATTTGGAAGTCAATTATAGACAGAAGACATACAAATATTAATATAGTAGATAGTTTAATATGGGTGACCTGAGCTTGGTGGCGTATGAGTTGGTTGTGCGGCTCATGCTGGCCAGTAGGCGTGGCAGCGTGCGCAGCGCGGGCGACAGGCGGCGGCAGCGTAGAGCACGCAGCGCGCGGACAGCACGCAGCACGCACACGTACAGCGGGATGTGGCGGGACATGTCCAGAACTGGCGAGGGGAAATATGAAAATATAACAATTATACAACAATCATTTTCTTCTAGTTTTTAATATATATATTTTTAGTTATGTTTAAAAAATAAATACATGTTTTAGTAAGATATTATTGTAATGTATTGTATTAATATATATATATTTATTAAATTTTAGACTTTACATTGTATAAATTGATTCTGTTTCTAGAGCACAAGCACTTTGAGCTACCGCGTCACATATCATCAGTCTTACCAGAATCGTTTCTAAGATATGAACATATGGCGGGTACTAGTGAACTTCCCGCCACTAGGTCTATGAACTCCGGCGGTAGTTCCTTGGCCGCTCCCTCCTCTTCCTCCCCCTCCCCCTCCTCGGGAGAACCTTCTTCCGGCGGCCACTTCTCTCCCGGGTTCATATATGACACTAATACCTGAACATAATTATTTTTGTTAGTATGGACATTGTCAATACTTCCACGATTATTTAAAATAGGCAACAAAAACTTTAAAAGGTTAAAATAAAACCTTTCAATGTTAGTAAATAGAATTCCGCTTCATGAATGTTGGAAGACTGAAGTAATATGTATAGAGATAGCAAGGTTGATGGATACGAAGATGTAAAGGTACTTTACAATTAGCTGGTGGATGTTAGGAATATACAAGTATTTTAGTTACTTTGTGAACATAACAACTCAATATTTTTACTATTCCATGGTTGACTTAATATTATATAGGAGAGTAGGTCTTCTAAAGTAATATTATTATGTACCTGCAGCAGTTGTGTGACGTGTTCCTCCTCGACCCTCTGCCTCACCAGCGCCTGCTCCACGTTCCATGACTGCTGCGTGGAGCCCGTGCCGAAGCCCGTGCCCTTTGCCCAGTACAGCTGAGACTTCTCTTCCTTGCCGGTACCACCGCCGGAACCGTTCGAACCTTGGCTGTTTTGCTATAAAAAACGTATTATTTTTAAGTTGTGCATAAAATGCTGAAATGAACATTATTTTTGTTAAGTGTCATACCTGCGCCGCCTGCGGTCTGTGGTGTGTGAATACGGCGAGGCAGGCCAGCACGAGGCGGACGGCGCCGAGCTTGAGTAGAGCCAGGCGGAGCGCTCGGCCCGCCGGGGACGCGCGGGGAGCGTTTTCTAAGAGCTGGGCCACCACACGGAACGGCAGGGTGCCCAGCGACCCGCTACCACCGGCGCCGCTCACCACTATGTTACCTACACGATATACTCCATTAATATAGAAACTTTAGAAAAGTTACCAAGTTATACAATTACATAAAAAGCCGGTTTCCTCAATATAATATTAACTTAAAAAATACTCTCCAAAGTTGATGTGATTTTCGTGACCAAATATTGACACAATTTACCTTACCAGCAAAATTAATATCAACTGCACTCGAAAAATAGCCACCCGAAGAATTGCTCAATAATTTTATATCCCTACAGTTAAAACATATTACGCTCAAAACTCATCAATAGAGTTTTGCGTAAAATATAATGAAGGTTTTAGTCATATTGATATGTTTAATGTATCCTTACAGTTATTTAAAAAAATGTTGTTTGAAATCCAAAAATATTTTTTCCTAGTTTATTACTTAATATGTTTTCCTTTTCCGTAAGTAAGATAACAATGCGACGTTTCGTTGATTTTTGTAACTATTGTATTTGTTTGTTTTTTATTTGTGGCAGCTTCATTGGTGTATGTTTTTGTAATTTTATTTATAATAAGAATAACCCCTGCTATATTTTTTATTTTTATTTTCAATGTACAGACAGCACTTTTCTAAAATTTTATTATATGTATAGATTTAAGTGTATTGTGAACTGTTTGTGCCTTAATAAAGCAAAATAAAATAATGAACTGGCATATACAAAACAGAATATAATACAAGTAACGTATACGCCGTCATCATACTATCAGAGCCCACCGCTGAGCAAAGGCCTCTTCTCACATGGAGAAGGTTTAAGCATTAATCACCACGCTCACTCAAGACGGGTTGGTGATTTCAAATTTATAATTGTGACATTATAAGTCTAGGTTTCACGATGTTTTCCTTCACCGTCTTTCAGTGGTGTCTAAATACTCTTAGAAAGTATATATGACTCGGAAAAAATCACATTGGTACTTGCTAGGATCGTCTCCGCGCCCTCGTGCACGAGAGGCGCTTCCTCAACCACTAGGCCACCACTGAATAGCTTATACGTCAAACAGTATTCCTAGCATGTATGTATGTATGTATGTATGTGTGTGTGGTATGTATGTATGTATGTATGTATGTATGTACGTGTGTGTGTGCGTGTGCGTGTGTCAGTACTGACGTCCTTCCTCGTCGTGCGCCACGCCCAGCAGCAGCCGCAGCAGGTGCACGGCCCGCGCGCCCTCGTCCAGCAGCGCGGCGGCGTACCCCGGCAGCTTGAGCAGCAGCGCCAGGGCCACGAGCGCGTGTGCCGGCACGCCCGCACACCCGCTCGACTCCTCGGTCGCGGCGCTGCTGTTGCTGCCCATGTTGCCGCCGATTCCTATCACGTTGCCGGCTGACGTCACACCGGCTTCCACCACCTTGAAATGTTTGTGGTTAAAGAACTTTATTTCTCATAAAGAACATACAATGTTCACTTGAATGAGATGTATTACATAATTCAATTCAACCAACAATTCAGTAAAGTAGCAACGACCCATACAATTCAAGAGCGGTTAATCCAAGTGCTTCCTACAATAACCCACTAATTTCCTTTTAATAAACGCAAACGTTTTTTCATCAAAAACTTCTTAATAACTTAAAAATGTTTAATAATATCATACATGCATTTCATTATTTTATAAATGTATTTAATTTTTATTTTATTTCTTGATACAGCACTCAATATGTTCAACCTGTTCGAGTAAGTTAAGCACAGTTTTATTTTAACGTCTCGTGTATACAATATAATAATTAGCAAACCAATAGAAACGCCACTTCCGCGCTATTTATTCTCATTTTTAAGTTTTTGTTAGCTGCTGATGAATGTTATATTGCTATACATCTAAGAAGTAAAAACAAAGCTCACTTCCACTTCCGAATTTTTTAAAGAAATTACTACAAGAATTAAAAGGGAACAGCCTCATTATCGGTCGTGTAAGTCGGTCGCGTCAGTTGTGTTGTTCAACTGTAACATAAAAACTCACTTCATAGAAGTCCTCTAGCTTGACCCAATCCATATCTGTATGGTGTGTGGGCGCGGGGGGCGGTGCGGGCGCGGCGTGAGGTCGAGGCAGACGAGCGGCCACGAGCGCCAGTCCACCGCACGCACCGAACGAGCGCAGGACTACGCTGCCCGAAGACACCTGGTGACCGCCGCCCTCCCACATCGGGCCCGACCACGTGTCTGAACAACGTACCATACACTTTATACACTAACGCTAGCAACACAAGCAAACTTAAAAGAAACAAATACTACATGTGATAACGTAAGAATTGTAAAGTGTCAAGTCAGACCCGGTGAACTTCGTATCGCCCTATAATCAAGAAATATCTGTTACGTTTTTTTATTTATATTTTTGGAGTTTATCTATTAAAGCCATATATCTCCATGTTTTGAAGTGCGACAGAATGATTGACATATTAGGTAGTTGTCAAATCTAATGTAAAAAAAAAGTTTGTATCAACAACTACTAATAAATTTAAAAAAAATTGACCAGCGGACAAAATTCTGAATCTAAACCATTCCCAGATCCCCTTGAACACACACGAAAAATTTCAGTGATATACACACTCTCAGAAGAATTATATATATAAAGATTACTATTTTATGACTAATTGCCGTATCGGTTTAGTAAAACGACTATGTATAATGTTCGAAACCATCACACATTGATATGTATCTGTAGATTAACATCTGTATTGTCTGTCAGTACATACCGTCCGAGGTGACGAGGTGTAAGTTGAGCGTGAGGTGGTCGTGCGCGGCGCGGGGTGCGGCGGCCACCAGCTGGCCGAGGCTGGTGCCGGGCGGGATGCAGCCCTCCAGGCCGTCCACTTGGACACGGAGCGCCGACTCGATTATATCTGTTATATACATGCGTGGTAAAGTTCAGCCATGAAATAGAACTCGTTTAAAAACTTTATATATATATAGTTATATTTTTCATATACATATGTATGTACTTAGTAAATATTAAACTGACCGTCAGTGTCTGATAGTACAGCGGCCTCGTTGTTCTTGGCGTGCCTCTTCTTGTTCCCTTGTTGTTTGAGCGTGGTGTTCTTCACGTCCTTGACCCGCTTGTCCTTGGAGGCGCTGGCTGCGGCCAGGGACAGCTCCCAGGGCTCCGCGGCGGTCATGATGGCGGTGTCGGAGGCGCTCCGCAGTACTGAGCCGGGGTTGCTGGTCGCCGCTGAACTGGTGCTTGTACTTAGACGGGACGCTTCTTCGAGCAGGGGGACTGGGAAACACAGTTCAATACAGTTTTATTAGTTATATGTAGAAAGATCACCGGTAATAAGATCTATTGTACAATGCTACTTCTTCATTTTGCTAAAACATTAAACTAATAGTCCAGGATACATGGCTGTTTTTTCCACTTGATTACTAACAAGCAAATTTTCCGTGAGTAGCTTCCTTTCATTGAGACACCCAACTTTTTCCTTTGCGATATTTCTTGATAGTGGTAGCTAACTTAGCTAGCAGAGATAAAATATGTTGATTTGATAATTTTCCAGAATTTAATACTAACTGGATTTATTTATGTTAAATCTTATGATAATTATCTAAATTATTCGAAAAAAAAATTGTCCTACAAAATGTATGGTTTGATCAAAGAGTCCCCCTCCTTTCGACATGTATCGATAACGAGGTCATCACGAATGATTACTTACTAGCTAGATAAATTAATAAATTACCAAATTTTAAGTATTTAAAAGATGAAATTCAAGTCATTATCAATTTAGCAGGAGTAAAAAAAATGTACTTAAACATCAACGACATTTATGCCAAGCTTGGAGATCAATTGTCTTGTTCACTCGCCATATGCCATATTTTTACAGGGAATGATTAGAATCCTGAATTCTTTCGTAAGGGAAAAAAGAGACCTTTTAGTATTCTAAAAAAAAAATATTAATTTTTAAGAGGCCTTTATTCAACTCTTACCAGTGGAAAATACGGCACTAACAACATCGAATAAGTTAGTTCAAATTATTGAAGAGTATGTATGTAGAATGTATTCTTTAAAAAAAAAAAAGATATCTACAAAGGGCGGTATGAGTTATTTGAAAAAGGGTATAAATCAAAAAAATAAAATGAAGAAATTTTCAGTAAAAATCGTAGGATATGATTCTTCTAGTTTGCAACCACCAAAACAAGAATTGTTGCAAAAAATTAAAAGAACTGCATTCATCTGCAATATATTATGGTGTAACGCACACATGCGGTACCCTATAGAAAATTTACAGAAAATTTTGGATGAACAATTATTATTGATGGCAATTATGATTTTTATTACTATTATATAATTTTCTAACTTTTGTCATGTTATTACAGAGTCAGATGTCACAAATGAGGACAATGAAATAAATAAAGGTAACAGCGATGTAAGCAGCGAAGATTCATCAGATGAATCTGTTGAAGTTTTTTTTTTGTTTATGTAAATACACAAATTTTTGTACTCATCTCATTAAAAATCAAGTTTTTTTATTAAAAAAGATATATTTTTATTATATCATATGTAAAAAAAACGAAAAATCACAATTCCTGTCGGATAACTGACACATACCTGTTTTTTTGTAGGACATAGCTACATTTGGGCAGAGATCACATTAATCTATCATATGGCATTTTGTCCTACAGTTAGTAATGAGAAAAATGGTCTTGTGGCATCAACCACTTTTAAGCGTAGGACCGGAATAACGTACCAAGCAACTTGTAGGACAAAGTTACTGTTAAATTATATAAATATTAACTAAGTTAATTAAAAAAAATATCAGCTATAATAGTTAGTAATCACTTGCGATGACCTCGTTATCGATACATGTCGAAAGGAGGGGGACTCTTTGATCAAACCATACATTTTGTAGGACAAATTTTTTTTCGAATAATTTAGATAATTATCATAGGGTTTAACATAAATAAATTCAGTTAGTAATAAATTTTGGAAAAATTATCAAATCAACATATTTTATCTCTGCTAGCTAAGTTAGCTACCACTATCAAAAAATATGAGGAAAAAGTTGGGCGTCTCAATGAAACGAAGCTACTCACGGAAAATTTGCTTGTTAGTAATCAAGTGCAAAAAACAGCCATGTATCCTGGACCATAAAAACTAAAGCCAGTTCACCTGGTGGTATGTGTTCAGCCAGTAGAGTTCGTACGGTGGTGGTGAGTGGTACGTGTAGCGTGGCGTGTACCGCTGCGGCGGGGTGGCTGGGGGCGCACCACCCCGTCCCGCCCGCCCCCGCGCCCGCGCCCGCCCAACGTAAACAGACGCTTACACGCTCTCCAGACAACACCAGCCTCAGGATGAGGGAACGAGTGAACCCAGACAGACCTTCTGGACCTGCAAAAATGTAGAATAATCATTACAACATTTCCATACACAAGATACGCACGTAACTTATTCGTATACGTTTCTAATGTTTAATCGTTTTTCATATAGGAAGAACATCTTAATCAGTTAGTTTCTGTGTTCATTTTACATAAATTATTTTCTCACCGGTGTAAGGCATCTCCTCTAGTATCGAGAGTAAGGTAGAGGCGAATAGTTTCTGGTTAGCCGTGTGACAGACGGTCAGCTCTGCGAACAGGCGGATGGTGTGCTCTTCCAAGGCAGCAAACGCAGCACTCTCCTGCCATGTACTGAGGAAACGAAGAAAAAGTGAATATTCAATACAGACGACACGAGGACGATAATAATACAAGTGTAATCACGTACATTCAACATCTTTTTTATTATTTCAGGTCTTATATTAAAGGAATTTTCTCAATTTACAGATAACCCATTCCGTTAATAAACGCTCATTGTTAGTTATAACAATTTTATATATATAATCAAACGAAAAAAAATAGCAGTATATGTAAATAATGTTTCATTGCTTGACATCAAACTACACCGTGAAAATATGTCAGCAAATATTCTATTCTATATTTTAATCAGTAGAATCTTAATAAATGTATATATTGATCGGTTCATTTTACACGTCATTAGGTCGGGGGTAGCATAGAAGCTTCAGTAGCGGTTTCCAGAACCCGTTTCCTGTGGAGCCGAGCCAGTCCTTGAGGCGTCTCTCCGAACACACCAACCGCGCCCACTCCACCGCGTCACACACCGACCGCATTGTAGACACATCTGTTTAACACACACACTATCAGAATACATATAAAATAAAAAATATGTCGATATTAATCTAATAAAAAATAGTAGATAACTGGTCGCAGTTTTCTATATACAATAAGAGTATAATATACTAGCTTAGTTAGTTTCATAATTAGTAAAGTATAGCTGACCAGACAAACTGTTTAGATTTACAGGCAGTAAATAAACAAATTTTGGATTTTTTAGCAAAATACATTTCAAAAATATTTTATGTCCGTCTCTTGATTCCAACTAACTTCCTCACAAATTTGAAGCGAAATCCGTACAGCCATTCTAGGGTTATAAATTGTGTAACGAACACAACTTTCTTTTGTATATATAAGACTAGCTTTCCTCCCGCAGCTTCGCCCGCGCGGAGTTCGGTTATATCGCGTTTCCAAGAGAACCTTTCAAAAGTCTGGGATAAAAACTATCCTATATTCTTGCTCAAGGTCAACTCCATCTCTGTACCAAACTTCATTAAAATCAGTTCAGTGGTTTAGGCGTGAAAGCGTAACAGAAGACAGACAGTTACTTTCGCATTTATAATATTAGTAGGGATACCTGTTTTCCACAGACGAAGCTGTCTTTTTATTTTAATATTATCAATACTACTGTATGTTCATGTGCTCACCCATCAATCTCTCGTATTTCTCGCTGTTAGTGTCCGTCATACACTCATCCTTCTGGGATCCAGTCTGAGTCATTAAAGCAGCTAGTTTCACTTCACTGTATTCTGTAAAACAAATTAATAAAGATCATTAATAATAATGGACAGATAACTTCCTATTGGATGGGATTAATATCTGGAATTATACATTTTTTATAATAACATATATATTTTTTTAACGTACATAGTATTAAAGACAAATTATGAAATCTTCATTCAATCGGTAGAGCTAATGCAGCATGATATTTGTTTAGTCTGAATCCTGCTCGTATCGATAAGTTTTAGTACAGTAGAAACTCTATTATCCGGCCCTCACTTGTACGGATTCGCGATTATCCGGACTACTGACAAGTCCGGACAAGAAAGAATGGTAAAGCGTATAGTCCGGACAAATTAGACATTCGAGGTTACATAAATTCCCACCAAGCTGAAAATCGGTAAGTTTGTTTAAAATATCATTAAAACAAAATTTGAAAGTTCCCCATCTTTCCCCTGTAAGGAAAAAATTTTATTCAAGGTCAAAGGTAAACAAAATGAGTTTTTCGCGATTTTCAGCTTGGTGGGAGTTTATGTAACCTTACTGTTATTATTTGTTCTAATTTCACCGGACTATAAGAGAGCGGTGTTGTTGAGAGTGGCGTACGTCAAATGACAATTACCAAATATTCTAAACCAAATTAAACTTATTATTTTATTTCATACTTAAAAGATGCAGTTTTTAGTAAATACACGTGTATGTATGTATATGTAATCTAAGAAAATGTATCCTTGAATTTTTTATTAATAAACATTGATTTTCGTTGTTATGTATTTGTTACTTTTTTTAATTAGACTAAATACTACATATCCGAATGTATATCGACAACAATTAGTCCGGTTAATCGAGTTTCTACTGTAATTGTATTAATTAAATTCCTCACCAGCTATCGATCGTACGAGTGCCGCGGGCAGTGGACAGTGCAGCAAGGCGAGTGTTGCTGCTGGCGACATGGCGGCCGCGGCCAGGGTCCGCAGCTGCCAGCCGAGGAGACGCGGCACTGACACAGGTCGGGAGTCTGCGCTACCCGCTGACGCAGAAGGGCGACCGACCTTAGTGTCATCGGTCAGACCTTCCATACTGAAAAAACGTTCACATTCATTAAACTACTAGCTGCGCCCCGCGGTGTTACGTAAGTAAATATGGTTTTTGGCTTATGTGAGGAAAAGTCGAACATTTTCCGGGATGTAAAGTAGCCTATGTGTTATTCCTGGACGTCAGCTTACTGTATACAAAATTTTATCAAAATCGGTTCAGCCGTTTGAGCGTGAAGAAGTAACAAACATACACACACACTCACAAACTTTCGCAATTATAATATTAGTAGGATTCATATGTAGCGTTGTTCGATACATTGGTATATAATGTACCTCTCTGATGAATCCATTTGTATTCCCATCTGTTTTAACAGCATCCGGAACAGTTCGGGTCGTATGTAACACATGGAGCACAGGACTGTAAATAAAATAGTTACCGTGTTAGTTTATGCTTTGTATTATGATCAGTTAACGATATAAGATAGACTTATTACCAGAATCCAACGACTTCTTCAGAAGATTAGTCTCGGCTACAATAATCCACGCGTATATGAGTTCAAATAGCTCGTCAGTTATAAGTTCTTCTAGATTATCTAATAGTCTTTCTTCTTTCAGAGTCCATAACACCTGGAAATAAAAATAATTAATGAATAAGTTAAATGAAAAACATATAGTAATGATATTGTAGAATGGTTGTATGATAATTGATAATTTTTATTATTTAAATGTAAGATAATAATAATAAATTTTAATTGGTTAAAAGATTACACCACTACAAAACAAACAAAAAATAAAAATAGAGTAACACTTATCACATGTATACAAAAATGGAAAATAAAATAACATTACAACTACAACAGGACAAATATTAAGTTAAAAAATCAATAACAACAATAATAAGTGTGCAGCAGTGTAATTTAACCAAAAGGAGGACCACTCAGTGAAAAATAGAAGCAATGTTGCTTCTACACTGATTTTCAGTAATCTCCTAATGTTGCAGCACTGACAGCGGTAACAATTACATTAAGTTAACATTGTTAAATTTAAACATAACAATACAGATAAAATAATGTATAATATTAAAATAAACACAACAAGATAGTATGTTACCGTAGCCAAGGTGTGTACTAGGGCTGCGGAGGGTGGATGTCGTTGTCGTAGGGCTCTCTCGGCGGACGTCGCGAACCACTTCACATACGCCCCGGCACAGCCCGCGCCGCACCAACGACACAAGGCCTGCGCCAGCGCACACACACTACCCGCTCCCCCCACTGACGACGGCTGGAAGGCTGGAAATACATTATAAACTATATTTAGATCTAATGTAACAACTTTTAAAAATACACGTATGCATATGTTAGTTGTGCAAATCTACAAATCAGGTAAATTTTTGCAGTTTTGCTGTCGTCCTCAATGAAAGAGAAAGCTTCATGATGGTGCTCTTATGAGCGAACATAAAAGAGACAAGGGTACTTTATTAAGAATTTCATCCAAGTACAGTATGGTGAAAATATGGAATTAAAATACAATTATTAATATATACATATATATACAGGGTGACTGGTGAATTACTATCGATATTTGAGGACGTGATATTTGACGATCTTATATGACAAAATAAAAATTAATATAACATAAATATTAATAAACTTCTAAGTAAAGTTAACCAAAAGTTATGTAATTAATTACGCATCGTATGAACACCCTACAGATTAGGTATACACACACACACACACACACACACACACAGCCGCAGCGGCGGCGTAGTGTTGTATCAGCACGCCGCCGCACGCGTCCACACTTGGAACACTTCGAACGTGTACACACTTTATTTATTTTTACGGAAATTTGGTCAAAAATTAAGTACCTATTTTTTTTACATAATTCGAATGAGAATCATGTACCGAGTATGCTCCTTAAATATTGATAGTAATTCACCAGTCACCCTGTATAAAGGGAACGCCAATAAATTTTGAGATTGGAATACGACAAAGCAAAATACTGTTTAGAGTTGAAGTCCGTGAGATTATAACGGTACTGTAACTTAATCTCTGCCTTCACCAAACTAAGCTACGTTTACAATGTATATTAAAGTATATTTGCTAACAATGAGCGTGGGCTGTTGCGTCCATATCTAACAGCGCGGTCAGCATGGGCGCTCGCAGGGCGGGCTCGGCTCTAGCCGCGGCGAGCAGCGCGCCGTGTGCGTGTTGCGCCTGCGCACCGCCCGCCGCCACACACGCACACAGCGCACTCAGCGCTCCCGCCGACCCGAACAGACTCCAGCGCCAACGCTCCAAGCGACCTCTAGTACAAGCGTACACCACGCGCGTCCAGCGATTCCTGATAAAATAAATACAATGTTACTATTAAATCGGCCATGTCTTTGTATGTACATAATGTATACTAGACATGTAGGACATATCTGAAAATTAAACCATTACTTAAAAAACAATAATAACAATGTTTTGTACTAATACGATATTAATTATATTTTCGTTATCAATACTGTATCCCTAGCTTTAGACGTATTTAAATCTAAAACAAATCAAGGTGTTTACATTTTTATATGGAGAAAAGGTATTCAAAGCATTTTTTTTAATGTATTAAAAATACATTGTTATATAAACTTTTTACACAACACTGACCCAAATATATAATACCTCATTCCGTGAAGGTTTTTCAATATTTACTGTCACTAAAGGTTGAGTATCGTCCGTTCTATAATGTCTAGTATAGATAAAACCGTCATATTGTATATTACTCGTGATTGTTAAGCGTGTGCGCGTCGCTCTGTGTTGTGAAGGCGGGCGCGGCCAGTAGCCTCAGCTGTAGCAGGCCCATGTTGGTGCTGTCCCGCGGCTTGTACAGTCTCAGAGTGACCGTGTTCACCACCAGAGGTCTCGCCAGCGCCAGGCGGATGAACGTCATCCCGGCCGTGTTCTGAGGCGGGCCTAGCGGCTCCACGGTGCCGTTGCAACCGGCCTCTACTGCGACCGCGCCGGGGCAGGCTGTAATAATAAAATTATCGTATTAACTATTTTCTAAAAAATAATAATATGTTTTATATATTTGGTATGGAATATGTTTTAAATATAATTTATATGTGGAACATTTTAATAGATTTTTACAAATTCATATCACATGAGTCGTATCAATTATTTTGTAAGGATGCGAGCTCATGTAATAGTATTTTGTGTTGTAATTTCTTCATTGTGTCATATATAAAACACATTACGAGATCTAAGACTTTCACGAGTATTTAAATGAAACTAATATTATTCGGGTTACTGAATATAAATATGCGTAGTAATGTTTGTACTGACTCGCGAGGCTGGTGAGGTGCGGCTGTAGGTGTACTTCGTGCAGCGTGGCGGCGTAGGGCAGGTTAAGTGTGAGTGCGAGGGACGCGTCGTCCACGCTGAAGAAGTGGTAGGACCAGGCGGCTGCTCGCACGCGGCGGGCGGCACATGCCCCCGAGCCCGAGCTCCCCCCACCACCGAGTAACACGTCCGCCGCCTGCGCAGTCGGGTTACCGCAGGAAACGGTGCCTGGAAAATCATTATATTAGCTCGCGAGAATTCATACAAATCTCTTGGTAAACTCCGCTTTAGGTTATTTTCTACGAATTAACGCTTAGTCTAGTCAGTTTTTTTATTTATTTATTAATTTACAATAAGCACACTTACAACATACATATTGAATATTTACAGTTAAAGTGACTATATTAAAACATCAGATATATACGTCAATGACAAGTGTACATAACATTTACTAACTATAAACAGTGCACAATTAAAAAGTTTATAGGTCTTACCGTTGTATACAAATACAGTTCTAACCAAATACCTAATTTTTGTTGTTATTAGAAACGAAATATCTAACATCAATCCAAATTTAAACTGCTCGTGGTGTATTAAATCTCTTTTATTTTGATTGCTTGTTATAACAAGTTCTGAATACTAACACAGCGGTGCGATATTAATGAGTCCGTTCGCCGTTTCTATGACCGGCGGTTGTGTTTTCTTGTTGTTGGACGAGGCGGCCGTGGACAGGTTGATGAGTTGAGGCGGGAGCTTCAAATGGTTCATCAGCGACGACACCAGACCCTGATTACTACTGGGGCCCGCCTGGAAACATATTGTTATAGGATTATGTCTTTAGATTCGGCTCAAACTAATAATATTAATGTTTAAATATTTTAATCATATACTTAAATTTTCTTTTAATTTAGACTTAAATGATAAGATACTTTCAAATTGTGTCTTCAATAACAAGAAAACTGCAGGATTAGGGATATAAATGTGGAATGTGTAGAAAAATTTCAATGAGGAGAATGTTTATTTTCGAATTAAATTCATAGCATGTATATCTTTCTATATACAATTTTTCTGTGAGTGTGTATGTGACTGAACTTCTCTCAAACGATTGGACCGATTTTGATGTAATTTTTTGAGTGTGTTCAAGGGGATCTGGGAATGGTTTAGATTCACAATTTTGTCCGCTGGACAATGTTTTTTAATTTATTAGTAGTTGTTGATACAAACGTTTTTTTATTGACATTAGATTTGACAACTAACTAATATTTCAATCATTTTGTCACACTTGAAAACATGGAGATTTATGACTTTAATAGGTAAACTCCAAAAATATCAATAAAAAAACGTAACAGATATTTCTTGATTATAGGGCGATACGAAGTTCGCGGGGTCTTCTAGTAAGTGTATATAATACCTTATGACAGGCTTGTAGTTTATCCAGAGCTAGCTCGAGCCCGCCGGCCCGTACAAAGGCCGCGCACAGCTCGGGCCGCTCCAGGGCTCGCACCATCACCTGCTGCATCCCCTGGGACAGCTTCACTACTTCTTCTTTTTCTGAAATTCACCAATTAACAACTAAGAGTCGAACATCTTAGGAAACATTGAAAAAATAAAGAATTGTAAAAAATAAACTATGATCAAATTTTTCGAAAAAATCACCTGGACAATGTAAGTTACATTTGATTAACATCAAATTTCTGTTTTATCCTCTATCTAAGAAAATGTTCTGTACTTTGTAAATTAGCACAACAAATTTTTGTCACAGAGAGAATTGTGAATTCAAGCTAATGTTTGTCTTCAAATATTGCCACATTCAGAATATATATCGTCCTTATAGATAAACAAAGGTCATGTAAGAAAATGACTCACGTAAGTACTCCATGAGAGACGGTAAGAGGAGGGCGGGGTCAGCTGCTAATGCGGGTATCTGAGCGACCAGCCAGAACACTTCCTCACGGAGAGACCACGACTCCGTTCCGCCCTCACTCCCTCCTGTTATATATATTAGATACATATATTAAATAATTTGGCTTAAACATAGTATGTAGCAATAAGATCTGTACTGAAATGTAATAAATATAGTGTGTATGCTATATTATAGAATTAAGTGTAGTGTAAAGTCACCTTTATAAAACATCTCATGTGTCCATCCAAATATAGTGGACCACCCATAGGCCTAAGCTTTCGTTGTGTTATGTTAAAATCTTCTAATATTATTAAATGTGACTTAAAGCTACAAAGACGTTTCTTTTCAAACCCAGTAATTAACCACATTAGAGTACTTACCTGAGTTCAAAACTTGCGTATTCATTCCGTCGCACAGTGACAATGTTTTGTAAAACTTGTGCATTATTTCTGGATGTTGCAAAACTGAAAACGAATTTTTTAACTCTTATTAGTAAGTCTTAAAGCCTACAAAATCGGGGGCCAGTTATAATGTACTAGCTTTCCACCCGCAGCTTCGCCCGCGTGGAGTTCGGTTATATTGCGTTTCCAAGAGAACCTTTCAAAAGTCTAGGATAAAAACTATCCTATGTTCTTTCTCTAGGTCAACTCCATCTCTGTACCAAATTTTATTAAAATCAGTTCAATGGTTTAGGCGTGAAAGCGTAACAGACAGACAGAGTTACTTTCGCATTTATATTATTAGTAGGGATGTACCAGTGTCAGCGAGGCAGGGTGTCTTCGGAACCTGCTGCTTCCTCTCATCCTCCACGTTCGTTCCTTCCGCTTGTGCGTTGTTCTGTGCTTTCCTCTCGTCCGTTTGACATTCTTCAGCTGATCCTCCTGGACTCGGCGACTGTTCATAGAAATCATTGCTTTTACTATTTTTGTATACACAATAAAAAAATAAATTTATATCTACTTACCGAGTGCGCGAGGTCACTGGTTCCGGGTGAAGCGGCTTCGCTAGCGGTATTCGCGCCGGGTAGAGGTAGCGCTAGTAGTTTGCGCGCATAATGTAGTAGATTCAGCAGCAGAGCCCGCCGTAGAGGAGCGCGTCGCGTGGAGCCCGCCAGCACGTCGGCCAGTAGTCCCGACAGCCGCGCCTCCCCACCACCTCCACCACCACCGCCGCTCTCCGCCCGCCAGCCGCTACTCTCACGGACCCACCATCCGCATTGATCAGCTGAGGAAGCTCAACATGTTCAAATCATTGCTTTTAATATATGAAATACAATTGAACCGTCACCGGTGACTCACCGACGGCTTCTATGAGCGGCAGAGCGTGATGTACGTGGTGTGGAGCGAGCGCGGGCAGGAGCGAGTGCGCCGCACGAAGCAACGTCGTGTGTAAATCGAGCGCTGAATGTGCGACGGGCGGCGAGGGGCCACTAGTGGCGTTCGGGCTGTGCCACAGCATCGCGACCACTTTCAACGCTACTAGAGCACCCGCGCTGCCACGCGCCTTCACCACGCGAGACAATACTGATTGCAGGGCGGTCGCAGCTCCTACACCAGCGCCTATACTGGCACCGCCCTGTAACACGTGGGTATACATGAAAACAATTATTCAAGCGACATTATATAACAGAGTCGCCGTTGTATATACAGTGCAAACTCGATATAACGAATCAGAGGGGAACAAGAAAATATTTGTTATATCAAGTAATTCGTTGAACTGAGGTTGGCTATGTTGAGGTTATGGTCTAAAATTCGTTATAAATAGGTAAAATAATACATAGTTTTACTTACCTCAACATTACGTAAATATCTTGTTATAGCGAACAATTTCTACTAATAAATGATAACACATTTTTATCAAATTACTACTGTTTACATTCAAACCACTTTCATCGGAAAACTTATCATTAAATTTTAAAATTGTAGTCAATGTACTTGCGGGTATTCCGAACTTATTAGCTATGTCTAATTTTTTCGTCATAGGATTTTGGTCAACATAATTAATGATGTTTCGCTTTTCTGCTACCGATAAGTAACTCCTTTTACACTTCTGAGCCATTTTAACTTAAAACTTTAACAATTGTGACGAGCAGAAGTGTTTATATTACTTTTCATCAAACAACAATGATTACTTTATGAACAAAAGAGTGTCGAAACATATCCAGATATGAATTACAATATAAGATTAAGAGTTATATTATTGGTGGGAACTTTATGTCAAGGTTTTGGGTTGACAAAATTCGTTAATTAGAGGTATGAATACTTTTTTTTGATAGTTGAAAATTCGTTATAAAGGGGTTGTTCGAAAAGAATGTTCGCAATGTAGAGATATATTTTATTTTTTTGGCAGCTAGGCTTTTGCCGCAACTCCGTCCGCGTGGAGTAGTGACTTCCGGCAGATTTTTGGTTCTTCCCACATAGTTCCCGTTCTTGAGGGGTTTTCCGGAGTGTCGAGTTCCCGTAGAGTTTTCACCATAAAACCTATGTTTTTTTTTAAATTCACAATGAAGTACTCTTAACCAACAACATATTTATTTGTTTATTTGAATAAAGATTTTATAAAATTATTTCGACCAAATTAGGTACCATAAAAACGGTTTTTGTGAGTTAATCTTAAAAGCTAGACATATACTGTCGCGGACTGTTTTTTAGATCATTAAAAGAGCTATTATTCTTTCATACATATTTTTTGTGTATCTTGAACCGTTTTCACGGCGCACGTAACGGAAGGCTTTTAAGATGAAATAATTTCTCCCGTTTTTTAAACATTTACCACTATATCTTTGCTCCTATTGGTCGTATCGTGATGTTATATAGCCCACAGCCTTCCTCGATAACTGGACTATCCAACACAAAAAGAATTATTCAATTCGAACCAGTAGTTTCGGAGATTAGCGCTTTCAAACAAACAAACAAACAAACTCTTCAGCTTTATAATATTAGTTTAGATTGAATCGTTTGGAAAATTCAAGGGGATTACGAAAAATTCGTTCAATCGAGGAATTCGTTATATTGAGGTACGTTATATTAAGGTTGCACTGTATTTCATTTTATTTTTGATGTTAACTAACATTTCATATTCACATATCAAGGGATGAATTAGACTATTTGAACTATTCTGTGTTTTCATGTCTTACGAGGTAAGGTTCCGATGACACTACAGCCCCATCTGCCGTTACGTCCATGGAAATGAATTTGACTAGCGCCGGCACGAAGTACTCGCACTCCAGAATCACACGACCCATGGTGTAAGAACTGCCTTCCGTCTGAAAACGAGTAAGGTATGGATATAACAAACGTATAAATAACAGTAGCAGACACTTATATCAAAAAGTATGTTATTTGAGCAAGTTTCACGTTAATATTAATTTTTTACCTGCAGCGGTAAACTGGACACCCAAGCCAACGCCTGCATCGATAACACCCAACATCTTAATGATATATTGTCCAATCTGAAAGAAAGTACCAGTATTACAATAGAACAGAGTCCAAAATCTATCAGTGTTTATATCGATAACTTTATGTGTACATACTTCACCAGAGCGCGTAAGAGCGCCGTGATGGTGTCCACGGACAACCTGATCCGCGGCACGTCGGGAGCAGCTAAGGCTCCTAGGGCTGCCGGGCCGGACCCGTTCAGAGTCAACCACAGAGACACCACGTTCTCCATGAATGAACAGTCCACCTGGTGTATGAATTTATTATTAGAACTTCATAGTACAGTCAATCTGGGTAACTTTGACAGACAAAGGTGATATTTTATACGAGATTTAAAAAAATAAACCTATCACTCGAGTGTTTTTTATTTTATCAGTGCTCTCGTATTACTTTCCGTCTCTAGACATTCACAGAAAGTTTATAAAACATACCAATCCCTACTAATATTATAAATACGAAAGTAACTCTGTCTGTCTGTTACGCTTTCACGCCTAAACCGTTGAACTGATTTTAATGAAATTTGGTACAGAGATAGAGTTGACCTTGAGAAAGAACATAGAATAGTTTTTATCCCAGACTTTTGAAAGGTTCTCTTGGAAAGACGATATAACTGAAATCCACTCGGGCGAAGCTGCGGGCGGAAAGCTAGTATAGTATAAAACCTCAATTCTGTGTGCCAAAGTTACCCTCATAAAATGGGTAACTTTGACACACACAGAGCCATGCAAAAAAAAGTAGTAATAAGTAATATTTTTGTCAATCTGGGTAACATTGGTATATATATTTATTAACTAATGGATGCATGTGACGCAATAAAACGATCATTTTGCAGTTTTGTCTTATATAAAAATAAATATATGAAGAATCAGTCTACAATATTTGGCAATGTTTCACATATTTTTGAACACCATCAAAAACGCTTTAAAAACTCCTTTAATTAAACATTTTTATTCAAATTAAAAAGAAAACAAGCAAAAACAATTAAAATACAAACATTTTGCAAAATCTTGAGCTTAAATTGTTTATTCTCCCCACTCCATATAGAGCAAATCGTCATTAATTGTGTAGAGCCCAGGCTGTTTTATACTGATATTACTGATATTACTGTTATCTACTGTAGATACAACATCATCATATTTAATTTTAATAATTTCTCTTTTATCTGGCCATTACCAACCACCTTGTGTTGCTCTTCTCATGACATCAAGTCTATACGGGAATGTGAAACTTGTCACTTTTCTTGGAAACAGTGTTCCTTCTGTTTTGAATATAACTGTTGTTCCAGGTGAGAACGCAACATATTTTGAAGTGCAAGGTTAAGATAAGAGCATTCTTTTTTCTTCTTGTACATGTTGCAAAACTTCTATTACCTCTTCCTCCACCATTTCAGTAACTTTGACAGTGTCAAAGTTATCCAGTTACTGTTCAAAATATGTATCTTCATATTTATGCATGAAATTTGAAAATAAGACGTAATTGTATGCAAATATTTTATGAAAATGCGGTAGTACAATCACAAATGGCTCTGTATAACAAGGTTAGTGATTACCTTATCAGCAACCAAAATCACAAAATATTCAAAAAGTTATTCATCCTAAAGCAATCTTAAATTCGCGCGCTATATTCAGAAGAAAAGTTTTGACGTTTTATTACTTTGAAAACTTACTTATTTTTAAGGTGCGTTTACGAAACTTGTTTAAAATCGCAAATCTAAAAAAACATATATGAATAGTGTTGGTTTCATGCGAAAAACTAATCGAAACTAGTTCATGGTCCCGCTGTCAAAGTTACCCAGATTGACTGTATATCATGCAGCATATAATCAAATAAAAGGTATATAACGCGTACACCTACCCTCGAACTAAAACATTTTAACTTACTTGTTGATCAAATTCCAGAGCCAGATGTCTGAACACGTCGTACAAGGTGAGCGCTAGTGGTGGTTGCCTGGCGTCGTCTGTCTGAGGCGGGGTGGGTTGTATGGGCGGCGAGGCTGGTGACGTGGGGTCGTTGTCTTCGTTTTCTGCCGGAGAGGCAGGCGCGGAGGGAGGCTCGGGCGGCGGCCTGGCGGACGGCGCCCTGAGAGCCAGCGGTAACGCTGCAGCTGTTGCGGCGAGCACCCGCCGTGCGAAACTTTCCCCGCCGCCTGCCGCCCCGCTCTCCAATCGCGCGTCCACACAAGTTGACAGGCTGGAAGATTCATACAGTTACATATGTTTTAAAACTACACACATACACTTTAGACCAGTGACTATAGCTTTTAAAACACAAAAATGGTACTGCAAGTAAGAAACTTATATTTTTTTTCTTCACCATCGGAAAATAGAGATTTTAACGAACAGAAAACACACCAAATTTTTGAAAAAAGTTGGTATTTTGACGGGTGATTTTTCGATTGAAAATGATGCTGATTTTTTGATATTTATTCAAAATAAGCTGAAAAAATAAATATTTCTAATCAAATAAATTACAGTGTATTTGGGACATTAAAAGGTAAGTTTTCACCAAATTTTATGACAAAATATTGTTTTTTGTAAGAGATAAAAATAAAAAACCAAAACCTTGGTTTTTCGAATTTGTCACATAAAATTTGAGGTTATGTGTTAGTACAAAAGTTTTAGATCTTTTAATTACCTACAACTTTGCCATATAACATTTTTCCGTAGGACTTTTAGTTTTGCCAGAAATCGAGAAAACCCATTTTTTACCCTTAAATACCCATCCCCATACCCTTCCCGACCTCAGATCGCCGGTAAATTATTTTTCCTTTAATTTTTATGATATTATCCTTTTCTAATGAGTTACATTCTACTATAATTTATTTTCACTTTTCATAAATTTTAAAAGCATCTGCACTGGCCTACTTATATTATGAGATATATATACAGTCTACACACGATCCCCATGACTATTTTTATATTTCGAGGGTTTATTAAATTTACCAACATCCTAATAATCCTGAACCCTACTCACCAGTTGCTCCCGTCTGTAACGGGTTTGGTCCTGGACTCCTTCTTCACGGCCTCAAAGAAGTATTGTTCTAATTTCTCTTCGGATTCCGAGTCGTCGGATTCTGAGTTTTGTGACGATATTTGCACCAGTTGACAATCCATGAAGTCTAATAAACCTGAAGATGCTCCTACGTCAGTTTAATAACACACCGTAAGAGATATGGAGAATCACATTAGGGGAAAGTATTCATATAAATTTAATTACCTGATATATTTGGTCGCTTAGGGGGAACTTTACATGAAGAACTGAAGTTCTGATTGACGCGGATAAAATGCAATTTGCCCGAACCTCCCCATTCATCACTGGGCGTCGCTGGTAACTCCCCACACTCGTGTTCCACAAGATCCTGTAACACAATAAATAAATTTAAACAGATTAAGATACAAGAATCTTAAACATTTACATACATCAGTAATCAATACTATAAAGCAAGAATAAATACATGTTTATAAAGACATTGCACGTATTCAAGTGCTCTTGAACTTATTTTACAATTTAGTTTATATCGTCTCTAGAAATAAAATAGAAAGCGGATCTTTTCATACAATTTAATTAGTATAATTCTGAGACTATCTCAGCGTACCTCAACAAGAAATATTCATTTATATTGGCGATCGCATCAATATGATTTACATAATTCTTATATACATAAGTTTTCCGTTACAAAATCAAAAGTATATATAAAAAAGCGCTCTACTATACTCCAGCCACATTCGATCTGAAATTTTAGTAAACGAACCATGAGTCATCATAATTAGGGTTGATACACTCTTAATAAAAAATAATAATTATTATAATTACAACTATATTCATTATAACATAAATTCCTGTTTAAACACAAAAATTTTAATTTATATAGAATCCAAAAAAAATATTTATCGGTCAATACATAATTTATATGAAAATTAGCTTATAATAGTTTAAAAATCCTTAATTACCACTATAATATTACTACAAGACTAACAACCCTATATTTTAAAACTGACGTAAAGAAATCGCAGGTTCGTAACATTTGGATTGTTTTTCAAGCAATTGGCAGATTAAGGAAGGTATATAATAGCGATACAGGCTCTTCGTAATTGGTGGTGTATATTTTTAGTCATATTATAATGGTAGTATACACACAACGTTTCATTACACACAGTTTAAAAAAAGACATCTTGTTTTGGCTAGCATAAATATAGCACTATAATCACTGTTTCAACCACATATATTTACAATTTCTTCCAATATACATATAAATATATCAGATAAAATGTAATAAATTTTATTGCGGTTACATTTTAATTAATTTAAAAAAATATTTTTTTAACGCAAATAAAGTTAAACGAAACGTAACTACGTAATTTTGTTGCATTATACGCCCGCCATAATGTTTGTTTTGTTGTTAACTTTGCTTACAATTCGCGAGTGTTTGATTCTGGTGCTCTTCCGTTCTGTTATTAATTGTTAGATTTTGTTGTCATTATTTTGTTTTAATTCGTTATTGTTATAAGTTTGCTATTATCAAATATTGTTTATATTAGATTACGATGAGTAATACTGAATAACCTGGTCCGAGTGGGATTGTATGTATCTGTAGCGAAATTTAAATGTACACAAAATTTAATTTAAATGAGTCCTGTCGTTTTGAGAGGCGATGGATAAAATTAATAAAGCGAATTATATAACTATGAGGTAATTTCTGATATGATTTTAAAATTGGAGGTATTATTTTTGAGATCTACATTATTCCAGATGATCATAAGTATTATAATTATAACCAAGAGTTAGTTCTTTGTCTTAAATATTTTTTATTAATTATCAATTTTAACTTTCATTAACATCAAAAATAATTGTTGTACATATTTCTAAAAATGTTTTGAGCATCTGCCTGACGTTGGTTGCTAAGCAACGCTTTGTTATTAAACATTCTACATCGAATTTGGCTGGAGTATAGTAAAACAATTGATGATGAATTGATATAGCTTCGATGTAAAACTCACCTGCAGCAAGGTAGTGACCGCGTGTCTCGGCCACGGAGGCAGGGCCACCGCGAGCCTCGCCAGGCCCAACACACTGGCGGGCTCCAACAACGCCGCGCCCCCACACAGAGCGCACAGGCGACCTACCACCTGGAACAATGTAAACTCGTAAAAGGTTCTGCATATATATTACTGTATCAGAAATGCTATGTTTAATCTCTATGTTATAAAAATCAGCAAAAATACAAAGTTCTTGGATAATATATTACCCCACTTTGTCCGCCACGAAGTAGAACTGTTTTAGGGTCCAATTCACTTTATTCAAGATTATGTAACATAGTTAATAGTTGCAGCAATTACATAGACTTACACTTTGATTCCGAATAAAATTTTTATAAAACTATACAAAATTGTTTAAAAGAATAATTATGTTATGGCTTTTTTTATTAACATGTATTAATTTCTTTAATTGTGATTTTCATAGTTCCTATGCATTTTATTTGTAAACTTTTTCCTATGCATTTCCTATGCATTTTATTTGTAAACTTAGTACTTTTTATAAAATTGTTCTATAGTTTTTTAAGGTACATTTATTTAAATTTGTGTGCTTGCTGAGTTTACCTTTAAGTAGTTGTTACACTGTACCTTAGATTATAGATACCTATTTTACATTGTATTGGTGTAAACAATTGTTGGTAAACCTATTAAAATAAAATAAAAATATACCTTGGCACAGAGCAGCAGATGATCGGCCAGTAGGGTGGAGTCCATGGCTAACATGTGTGTGACGAGTGCGTGTGCCAGCGACGCTCCCAGGGACGGAGACACCAGCCTCGCTCCTTCGATGACGGAGCCGGGGGCGGCGCCTGACGTGCCGCTGGAGCCAGTCAACTTACACATCATAGCCATACGAGCTTTGAGGCTCAGACGTGCACGCTGTGGAACGAATCGTATAAACTTATTTAGAATATGTTACAGTAAGTATAACATGAAAGGTGTTAATGATCATCACCTGTTGCTCCTCGAGCGCCACCTGTATGCCCTGTCTCGCCGCGTACAGCTCTTGCATCTGATGCACTAGTTTTTTATGTAGTTTCCGTCTATGAAGCTTGTCGGGGGCGCGAGGGGATGGTGCTCCGCCTTCGGGCAGCCTGGCCGCCCGCCCGCCCGTCACCCAGTCCCAGCGGGCTTGGTGGGCAGGCGTGGGCGCTGTGGCGGTCAGTGCGGCGTCTAACACAGCCGCTAAGGTAGTCAGCATGGCAGCCAGCAGCGCTGGCTGGGGCCGGCCCTGTAGTAGTTCCAGAGTGCGGGCACACAACGCCTGCGTCACACCGCCCGAGCCGGAACCGTGAGCATACATGCTTTTTCTAGCCATGTATATAACTCCCACTAAACATCTGTTATATGAAAAACTCTATTCAAGTAACCATCATTTATATATCAGTATAGTTTCAATCTTACGTACATATTTGATACTCGTTACACAACGGTTCGTACTTAATCTCATACAAAAACGAAACATACAAATACGTTTACCAATTTAGGCCCAGCTGCGCCAATAAGTAGAATCATTAAATGTTATAATGATATTGAGCGTAAAGCAAACCTAGACATTTTTAATGATAGTTTGAATTTGTATAAAAGTAAAATTAAAAAACATTTCCTTTTCAATAATATGTCATGTCACAACTTTTTGTTTCTTTTTATATAGCTGTTTTTAGATTATTACTATTTTTTATTCCTTTTTGTTGTTATATACATATTTTTTCTTCACCATTTTTTTATTGTATCTAGTAAGTTTTAGAGTAAGATCTAAACATTATGTAACCCATGTTGAGTTAGCCTGTAAAAGATGATACGCAACTGTAGACAATTAAGTTTCATTATGTTATAATGTAGTTGTAAGTTTTTGTGTATCACGTTGGCTTCCTATTAAATAAAATAAAAATAAAATTCGTTCTGTTCATGTACCGTTCAACAGTTCAGAATTGAAATTTTTAAAAAACTATTAGACTGCTGGAAAAATGCTTTGTTAATGCATAAATACGTAGATTTTGTTGTGTTTACTTACTCTGATATATTCGACTTTGTCCGCGTTGTTTAATATAATTACCATGTAAATTTTTACAGTGCGATAAAAGTATATAATAATTATTACAAAGTTTTTGTATGTCCAAAGACATAGTTATTATGAAAAAAAGTATCTGTGTTTAAACTTAAATAACCGTAGAATAAATGAAGATATCGCATTTATAAGTTTAAGATGTAACTAGTTAAAGAAAAGCGTTTTGAAAGAACAAATATAGAAAATTTAATTGAAACGTCTGCAGTGATTTCACAGCGGCACAAAACTACAGACTTTCATAATTTCATTTATACATATAAATAAGAGTTACAGCTGCTATATTACAATGTAACCGGAGATTAAATGGCGAAATCTAATTCTGGAATTTCTTTTGAATATAATAATTATATATGAAATGACTGCGAAAAAAGGCGGACTGGTTTTCGAGCTGTGACCGCGAATCGGTAAACGAGGATATGAAGAGACCTGCTGACGAATGAGAGCCTTTGACCAGTAGCGGAATAGATACATAATGAGATCTAAGATTTTCGCGAGTACTCATTTAAATGAAACTAATATTTTCGGATTTTACTTAGCGTTTATTTTTGATTACGAACTACATACTCTCGACGTTTCAGCTACTTTTCAGCAACCGTGATCACGGGCAGACGAGATCAAAAATAAAAAACGCGAGTAAAATCCGGGAATAGATACAACTGATGGTGATAATGATAATTGATTGATATGATAAGTGGAGGTCGAACCTGTCCAGCGGGTGTGGCGGCGCGTCTCTGTGTTCGAAGGCCTGCGTGAGCGCGTCAGGCAGCGCGGCGCCCCACCAGGGCTGCGAGCCGCACGCCCGCGCCAGTAGGGCGCCCGCGCCGGCGCCCGCGCGTCCCCCCCACTCCCACGTGAGCGGCAACACGTTGCGGCACCACTTGGCGCTGACGCATCCATACTGCTGCAAACGGTTCACTATTAACGAACATTCCACTAACAGACATGCTGTGAGTCTGCATCGCCATACTATCCACGTACGTTGATATGCAAATCGTTATGATATGCGAAGGTTCATTAATGTTAAACTGAAGACATTTCGTATGTCATGTTACGATGCGAACCTAGGGCTTACGCTGTACACTTTTAGGTACAGAAGTACACAGAGCTAGGCGACTGATTTGTTTTAATTCGACTGGATAATGCTTGACTATCATTCCACCCGTTGGAAGGTGGAAATGAAGTAAACAAACTATCTCTGTATCAGGCTATTCACCCCTTTTATGAAGACACCCTTATCATAACTCAAAGGAAACTATTCCAATTCCTTGGTGTCATAAGGTAAACTAAAACATCCCAACTCACCACATCACCCTTCTGGAAGTAGAAATACAGCAGTAGATCTATAATGTTCTCTGTTATAACTCGTAGTTTGTCTGTGGAGGCTCGCTCCAGGAGTGACTCCGACGTCACCAGTCCTTTGTCAATAGCCTCCAGTACTTTATCGTTACAGTCGGGTATGTTCTGCAACCTCTTCAGTAAGTTGGTGCAGTTGTGTAACTGTTGTTGTAGTTCTATACACTCCTGGTATGCGACGAGCACTTTCGGGTCGGATTCGTCGGTTTGGTTCAGATACGCCATCATATGAGCTGCGTTTCCATTGTAGAGATCCAGGTATGGGTTCAGAAGGTCGATCAGTTTGCCCGTCGCTAACCTTTAAAATATAGTTAATATTGTCATATATACATGCCTAAAAAACTGGCAAAACAATAGGCAAATGTATCAATAAATAATTAGTTATTGATAGATTTGTAACTCTTTTAAACAGAAATATGTATGAAAAAATCATGATAATTGAGGATGTACTGGGACGATAATGCCTAACAAGGCCTAATCCACAAAAAGAAATCCAGTAAAATAACGCAAACTTAAGATGTATTCCTCTTACCGGAATCTGCAAGACAGGTCTTCGTATAAGGCCTTGAGAGCGTTAACGGAGGCTTGCACGTTAGTTATATCTACAATCTCTCCATAGAACCACCCGAGAGGTATCTTGCACTTCATCGCGGACATACCGTAGCGGCCGATTGTTGTTATCTATAAGAAACAATATATTTGAGATCACTCCATAATATTTCAGTGGAGATATAATAACAGATGGCAAAGACTATAAAAGCTCAAAAAAACATTTTTAGGCACTTTTAAACCTAAAGAAAAGCAAAACTGCTTTCTAAGTAACAACTTTTTGCAGCACATATTTAATATTTGACCATAACAGATGGTAGTTTATATGATACCTTCATGTACCGACACAGCGGCGGCGGCTGTATATCTGTGAGCACGAGGTACTTGGTAGCTATGTCGGAGGCGAAGGCCAGCTTCACACAGTCCGTTTCCTCACCGGCCGTCCAGATGTCTATGCAAAGCGTCACCAGGTCCGAACATGACGGTATTATCTATAGATCATAATATATAATGACTAGCTGTCAGTTAACAAAATTCAATTAAATATACATGTAATGAAGTGTATTCATTTAAATGAAACTAAGGTTTCCCTATATCGGTAACAGTGATTACGATTGATGCAAAGCAAACCGCAAAAGTTGGAATTGTGAAATAATAAAAAAGGCATAGTAATATCAGCAGAACTCAATGTCATTTAGTACGCATCCCTACTAATATTTCAAATGCGAAAGTAACTCTGTCTGTCTGTCTGTTACGCTTTCACGCCTAAACCACTGAACTGATTTTAATGAAATTTGGTACGGAGATAGAGTTGACCTTGAGAAAAAACATAGGATAGTTTTTATCCCAGACTATTGAAAGATTCTCTTGGAATCGCGATATAACCGAACTCCACGCGGGCGAAGCTGCTTGAGGAAAGCTAGTACAACATAAAATCCGTATTTTTATTAAGATAGAGCCAAGTTCAGTAGATGTTTTTCTCTATCTTTGAAGATGTTTCCATACCACGTCTGTTAGTCTGACGAGGTGTCCGAAGTCCAGCACGATGTACCGCCTCGCGCCCGAGTGCATCCTCTCAACCACGAGCGTGTGCTGCGGCGGCCGCGCCACCAGCGACGCCCACGCCACGCCGCACATGGACCACTGCTCCTCCTCCTGGAAAAACACACACACACGCTGTATATGAAACGTTTAAAACACGCTGTATATGAAACGTTTAAAACACACTGTATATGAAACGTTTAAAACACGCTGTATAAGTCATTTTTTATTGCCAATACAGAAACAGCCAAAGTCGAAGATATTTTACTATAAATCCTTTCATATCTATATATTGTTTTTTCTTTTCACATCTAATTACGGATTTCAATAATTAGTAATTATTGCTTTTATCTTCGCGAACGATATGTACCAAGCAAAAATAAAAAAAATAAAAACATTTTCATCAATTTTCTTCCATATTCGGTTTCAAGATTTTCTTACAATTCCATCAAATATTATTATTCGCATTTGATCTACTTCTTTAGATAAAATAAGACGATTGTATGTAATCGCACGTCATTTGGCACATCAGGACTATGAGTTTCATTCCTCGTTCCGAGCTAGGTGACACAAACAGGTGCCGACCAAAAATACTACAATCTGACTGGAGCACATTCGAGCATGACATATTTGAACAGCGCAAATAATTTGATGAACTTGTCAACATTAAATATGAACTGACCTGGTAAAATTAAACAAGAAACTTTGATATATATGTGGGGTAGATTTATAATAAATAATAGTTAAACGTTAGATTGAGTGGACGTATTTTTATTGTGCTCCTAATTTCCTGTTATTTATCTAGATCTGTTGTATATAATATACACATATTTATCAGAAACTTACTTTAAAGAACTTGTCATCCGTCAATTCTGATTGGTCCTGGAAGTCACATTCCATGAAGGGACTGTCCACGTCTTCCAACGAGTCGGGGTCCTGGGACGTTTGCTTTATATGGCCATCCTTGACCATTGTCCACAACTGAAATAATAATTATGAATATTGTTATTTAGTTCAATATAAATTTAAGTAGGTGATTTTAATACGGAATAACTTATTGTTTCTACGTAATGAAACTATAACAACCATGGATAATAAATTATAAGATATCCAAATGATTGTCCAACATAACGTTGTTTTTTGTAATTCTTTATTTCTATAGTTAAAAGAACGTTAATAATCCAAATTAACGAGAACTTTCATACTATTGCGTAAAATTGAAAATATTGGTTCTACATTAAAAACAGTAAAACTTTTTGGGAAAGTTCCTCTATCTTGCGAAGATTTAAACCCATTCTAAAATTTTTAATAACATTTGCAAACAAACAATCTTAAATTTTTTCAGATACGTATTGCAAATTCGAAATCAATAATTGTTTGGTGTAATCATTACTGATCCAAGTCCTAATATGGGTATCACTACTAAGTGTATGTTTCTCATACTTGGTGTGGGTCGGCGGAGTGCGCGCTGACTACTGCGGGCGGGTGCGTGGATGTGGCTGTCTCCAGCTTGGTGCCGTCCGAGGCGAGGTGACACGTCACGTGCAGAGGACACGCCTCCCCAAGCCCCGCCCCCACAGCCTCCATGCCGCCGGTGCCCCACCACGCTGTGTTAGTTGCTGTCTTACCCTCTGGGATATATTTTAATTAACTTAGAGATAATATATGTAACAGATCGGTCGTTATAGTTTTAGATGTTTGGGGAGGACTATGGATTCTCTAATTATGACGTCACTTTAGGGACTATATCTATGTACTTTTTGTCTGAAAGTGCACAAGCTTTTATTGATTGAGTAGACCTTTTTAAAGTTACTTTAAAGGTCGAGCTTCATCTTAATAATCTTATTATATTTTTATTCGAACTCCAAAACATTACAGTCGATATTACAATGAATTTCCTATTTGAACTATCCAATCACCGACGACGTTATGTATAGTGCGTTTGATTTAAGCTGAGCTTTGCATTTGAATAAAATTTAATTCTGAAACTTTTTTGTCTAACTCTACTTTTTCTTTCACTCACACAAATGCAAAGCTCAGCTTAAATCAAACGCACTATACTTCATACTAATCCTTTAAATAAATCCAATTTCCTTTTACAAGTATAAACATTTTAGTCGTGTATAATTTTCGTGCCTCACCCGCGTCTATCGGCATGTTGAGTAGATCTTTCAGCTGGCAGTGCTGGGGCGGCGCGGGCGCGGCCGGCGTGTCTCCGGCCAACACACTCGCGTACGTCGCCACGGAAGAACTACCACGACACAGCTCAGGTATTTCAGCGCCGAAACGGGTTCGCTCTAATGGCAGGCCGTACAGTCCGAATCTGAACACATAATTTTAATTACATATAATAATAATTATGATTGTTTTAAACCTATTCTTTTAACTAAAACTAATATTTCACAATCACTAGAAAGAGTCAAAAATAATTTTCTTTTTAAATTTTTTATTAACAAAATACTATTTATTATGTTTTATAAGTTTATTTATTTTACGTTTATTTATTTATTTATAATACGTTTATGTCGTCAAAAGATAAGAAACTAATAACTATTTAGAAGTAGAGAAATGGAAGATTAAATGTTGGCTATAATAATCTGTTAATGAGATGAACCTGGCCCTGAGCAGCTGTTGATATAGGTCCGCCCTCTCTCGTAAGCAGGTGGCGGCTTGCTCCAGCAGCGCCAGGCCCTTAGCGACCAGTGCCGGTGCCGCAGATCTTTTGCTGCAGTGTTGAGCCAGTGCCGTGAGCCACTTCAGAGCCCCGGCACTCTCACACGCGCCCACCAGCGGGATGCAAGCGATCACACTGCTCGTCAACGTCTGCTCGAACGACGACTTAAACGGCTTCGGTAGTTCCATCACACCTCTGTGGAACATATTTGTTATAATCACGGTTAAGTTTAATGAAAATATAAAATAAACAGCCAGTTACTCACTCTCTTGTGATCAGCATAATTTTGACACATTTCTTAGCGACACTTCTGTTAGCGCAGAGTATGCAAGTTTTGATCAAAGCGTCCGTATGTTTCTCGATGACAGCGATGCATTCCAGTTGCTGTGTCTCCACAGGGTTCTGGGAATCTTTTTCCTTTCCTTTATCCGACTTCGCTAATCTCATTCGTTGTAGGCGTATGGACACCACCCAGTTGATGAGGTCCAGCGCCAGTTTTCGTTTCTCCAAGTCCCCTTTGCTCACAGCTATTTCGCAGAGCGTGTTCAAGAAGTTATTCGACTCTAGCATGGCTATTCGCTGCTGTCTTTCCATAGGAACCTCCGTGTGGGGACAGGATCTAACGGTTAACGAAATTTGATGCAACCAGTCGCAACCGATGAAATTAGATTTCTTTGAGGTACTCTCAGTTTTTATCGAGCCTTTAGCAATATCTTTAGCCGGATCGAATAACGTCTTAATATGAATCAGGAAAGTTCTCCCTCTAGCTCTATAGAGTCGGGGACTCGTAAGTATTAATGTGCCGGATTGTTGAGTGGAGTCTAAACCGGATGATAGAAACAATGGTCCCGCTAAAATCTCAGCGTTATGTGCCTGTAAGTACTCTTCACTGTGCACGGGATTCACATAGTTAGATGTCTCCGAATCGGCGGCTGTGAAATGAACTGGGGATTCAGCTCTGTGGCCAAAGGAAGCGTCTTTTTTATATCCTATACCGTGTAAGTTCTGTTTCAGTAGAGTCACCTGTATGATAGGAAGTTTTCCGACGGAGCTGGCAGTGTGTAAGGTGAAACCGAATTCGATATGAGCTAAAGAAACACTGTATGGTAACGTCAATTCTAAAACGTGCTCGTCCCACGTCGACGAGGTGTTCTGTAACCGCCAAGATCTATTATTTTGGTGATCAGATCTCGATCTTTGGGCGGGCAAAAGTTCGCACCAAAATCCTGGAACCACCGCACTGTATGGTACCGTGGTATTCATACCATAAAATCCTGTAAGCGACATAAGAACTTCCAAGTCGTTCAATTCTAACTCAGGTTTGTTGGCTAGTATGACCGGCGGAGTCGTTGGGCCACCAACCTCGTCCTTGGGAGCTTTTTGCAACATGTCGAAGTCCAAATTTGCAAATTCATCTTCATTGCCGTCACTACTCGAGTCTTTCTCTCCGTTATTTAGAGCATAAAAGTAGATCATGCCATGTTTGGTGGAAACACTGAGGCGCTCGACAGAAGCGCAGTACACCACTGATGTGAATTGACCTTTAGGCACACGTTTCTCTGAAAGCAGTTTAAAATCCGGCAAAGCATAAAGTCGTAAATCACCGTCCGCCCCCACCACCGCTATTGAATACTGGTCGTGTTTGTCAGCTGGCAGCAGACATAAGTCTACCGGGCTCTCGTTATATGGCAGTTCTTTAACAGAAACCGGATTATCGTCTAATGTGAAAATAGAAGATTTACTGTTTATTTTATAAAGTAAAAAGTAAGCTTTTAAGTCTGATTTTTCAGTCTTATCATGTTGGTCAGTAAGTTCGTCGATTTCCATCTTAACATCGTTCTCGCCGTCCGTTTCCTCTTCCTTCTTAAACTTCTCGGGGTCAATACTGGACACAACTACAAGCAAATGTTCCTTGTCTTCCGTTGGGAATAAGTGTGTGACGGTGGCGTCGCCTTTCGCGTTTAATTTCGGTGGAAGACTTAAGCACTGAACGGCTATCCCCTGCGTCACCGCCTCGTCTTGGGGCGGTTCACTTTCGAACCCGTCTGTATTACTGTTGGTGATTATCGTGTGTGTGCCTCCTTTGCCGCCGCTGATGTACGCCGCCACTTTAATCTTCTCCGCGCCTTCGCCACCTTCGTACCACTTCAAGTCTGATATTTCCAGCGGCCCATTGCCGGTCATGTTGAGGTATTGCGTGATGGGGTCACCGTGCACCGCGTCCGTTTGGTCCACCAGCTTCGTTCCCACTGACTCGAGGTTCCCGCTCTTCCAACTCTTCAACTGTGATATCTTCCCCACAAAGTCCAACATACCTTGACCCGACTCAGGTAGTTCAGACAACAAAGCCGCGGGAGGCGGCGGAGGTTTGCTGAATGTAATCTTTTTCGGCTCCCATATTTTACACTCCTCTTTACTGGAAGATGCGTTCAAATTTATTACGTTGCTTATTTGTTCGTCCAATAAACTGTTGGTGCACTGTGGAAGTTCCGTGTCGTCGTCTGAATAATGTAAATACATAGTATCGTATATATTACCATCGTCCGTTCTTTGCACTGCACACACTTTCTTACTGCCCCCCGGTTTAGAGTTCCCGTTGCTGTTTGATGTGTGAACGACGGTCGTGATTGAACCGGCTGAAGAACTGTGAATGTCATAAGTTAGTAGGAATAACATTTTGTTTTTAGGGGAGAGATTACTCTTCGCTTCGTTTTCGTCATTCATCGCCTGTATGCTCTCTTTCGACCTATCCGGTGCGCCAGAATCAAAGAGCGCCTTACTGGAGTCCTCCTTGATTGGTTGATTTCTAGGTGTTGTGTTAGTTCTCGTAACGATAACAGCACAGATGAGCGAAGGCTTCGCTTTATTACTTATTGTTTCTTTCTCTATGTTTTCAGCATTTTGTGCATGTGGATATGATGGTTCCTGTTGTGATGTCATGCCCACAAAAGCCATGGCTGACAGTTCAATATTGTAAGTAGCTGAAATATAAAACATCATCTTTATAATCATGTGTCAATATACATATTTACTATATTTTATAATTATACTCACAGGTATCCTTTTCTAAACTAGCTGACCAGACCTTATTGCAGTCTGTTGTCAAAATTCCACTAAAAATTGAGTCATATGGCGAAAGATGAATGAACTTTACAAGTTTAAGGCCACAATCAAATTTCCAGATGTTAATTTTGCCCTCTATAGTACCAGACGCTATAAGATCCCCTGTGTTGCCTTTTGATACAATACGTACGTTTGGATATGGCATGGCGCAGGCTGTCGCATTGGTAACCTAACAGAACATTTTTATTTAGAAATGTTACATGTAAAACAAATTAAAACATTATTTTTATCATAACTTACTGATATAGGCACATTGTGTGTGTACTCGCCCCTTACAAAGGGACAGTTGGGTGAATGTCGTTCGTGCTCCACCCAAGGTTCATCAGACTTCTCCCAGCAGACGAGACACACCATGCAAGTGAAACACATTGCACGATCATCACCACTCGGAGAGGGCTGGTGGTAGAACCCAGCTTGTGCCATTCGAGCAGGTAACGCCCATCTAGGATAAATCCACTATTAGATAATTCCTGTTCCTTTTCACTTAAAATATATGCCCATATTGGAAACAGTCCAAATTTTGAGTTCATATTTAAAATAAGATTTATATTGTATCAAATGTATGTTGAATGACTCAGTGATGACTAACAATTGGGACATCAATTTGTATGAATATTTGGGTTTCATGTGTACTGTGTGAATGCATGTACTTACGATAAATAAGTTAACACATTAGGTGTTGCAAAATGAAATCAAAACATATAATCATCTAATGAAATTCAAACTAATATATTGAATATTCATCATATACAACAATTAATAATTCATAAAAATTTAACTGAATACTTACTTATAATCCATATGTGGCCACCGCTTGAAAGTTTCTTTCCTTTCAGCCTCTGAGTACATGAGTGCCCTAGACTCCTCATCCCTTGTGCATGGCATCAACTCGTTAGCACGCTGTCCCACTGCCGAAGCAATGGCTAAAGCTGGTATTCGTCTGTTCTGACCCTTTAGTTCTTGTACTACACCCGACATAACAAGCCTTAGTGTTGACTGTTGAAGCAGTATTGTCACAGTACTCCACTGTAATAAAACAAACAAGATTTTGCATATATACATCAAAATAAAGATAAAAAGTTTTTATTCAAGACATAGTACAGTTTTTCTTACTTTTTGTGCTTTAACACCCTTCCTTACTGGTTCAGCATCGATAGAATTCTTCAATTCATTAATGAAATCCCCCAATCCTTCTATAGAGTGAGGGTCAAGGCTTTGAACACACTGATAGAGTAGAACAGCCTACAAACAATAGTTAAACAAATTCAATACTTTAGTAATTACACATAATACAATCTTAAATTATTATTTATTTATATATAATGTGAAAAAAAGGTGAAAATCAAATATATATAATATCAAAACCTGAGCAATAAAAAAAGTAATATAGAAATAAGATATCAATTAAAGTCTTATTAATAAGTACAGCAAAATTTAATCAATGGATAATAAATTACATTAACACAACAATTACTAAGAAGAATCAAAATATTATTTTCTTTTTCTTAATTTAAATTATTTATATACTTTAAATGTTATATTGAAACAGCCCAAATTTTATTACAATATATATATTGCTTTTTTCTGATTTCTACTATATATAAAACTTCAATAGTATTATTAAATATGACAATGATATGGCAAAACAATCTAATAGATCCTAGTCATTATATGACATCACTTTTATTGCTAACAAAGGAACTGTTCTAAAGGTCCAACAAAATAATTAATTTCCACACTTTTTACTAGATTTACACTTTGGTCTTGTTGCATAGTAATTTATATTATAAAACTTAATATAAACACAGTGAAACCAGAATCTATGACCATTAAGAGTACCGTATACAACAGAAACATACTGCGTTGCCATAGAAATTATATAAAAAAGGTTTACCCATACATTATTTGTTTTCAATTATATTCAGCTCTTTATGGCATAGAAATAAACAAATATTTACACACTTTTTATAAACAAACAATGATAATAAACAAAAGATTCGGTTTATTTCATACATAAAACTGATCATCTTGGATTACCTCTGACAAAACCAGCTCAAGCCTGACATTACTGTCTGACTTTGATGGACAAACGGGCCGCTGCAGGGCTGTGTGAAGTAATAGGACCCCGTTATAATCGGTCCGAGCGCCTACTCCACTGCTGTCCCATACGAATACACGGTCAGCTCCTGACGCATACTCCACGCCCAACGTACCCCCATCATCTACAAGCAAAACGAATTACACCGATCAATCTCTCCACCGGTCCTATACTATCAGAACGATTCAGTTTAATCGAAATTGTTTACTAAGAACTGTCAAACTGAATCTATGTAGGGCATATATTGATGTATCAGCTATATATTTTTGTATGTATAACAGGATTTTGTTATGTTTAAGTAATTGTAAGTGCGCCAGGAGGAGCAATAACACCAGATCAGACCCAAACTTACCCGCTGATAGACAAGAGGATTGAAGAATCACACCAGAATTAACATCCAAAACGTGCACACTACCTACGTCAGTCTTCACTAAAATTATATTTAAATTACTGTGATACGATAGTGAAGTAACAGGAAAGTTCATACGTATATAACCATCTTCTCGTAATATCAAAGAATCATCGCCCATCGTGGCCGTGAACACATCTGTCTATTCTACGTAAACGCCATTTGTATTTTTTTATGTCAAATAGTTTTACACTAAGTGGCCAGACATAAAAAACATAAGTTTTGATTATGGTTTTCACAGACTATATAAAATATACACACACTCAACACATAACCAAAAATTATTGCACAATATTTTTAATCATTGAGATATTTAAGCTATATTATATTGTAATATAACTGAGAATTGTTTCTAGTCTGTTAATTTATACATATATACTGTTATTATTTTTATATATTTTTTTAAAGTGATTTACATACATATCCGTAATTATTGTTTTCTTTTTAAGAAAAAATGAACAAAAAATATATTTGATTTAAATTGCTTAACATCTACACTTATTTTTTGATATTGTACATATTCGACACTCAGATTCAGATATTAAAGTAGTTTTATTCATTCTACTAGTTGTTTCTAAAACCCTACGACATTAATATTCAAGAAAATCAAATTCTTAAATCCTTTAAGTCCCTTGGGTGACACTTGGGTGCATTATTTACTGAATTTTATAGCTGTTATTTAATTAATTAGGCTAAGAATACTGCAACACCCACTTTCGAGTTAAGTACTTTATTAACCAAAGGGGGTTAAATGCCTACCAAATTAAAAAGCTGTGAACTTTAGAGCTGAAATTTTTATTTTCTAGCTAGCCTGCCGAATACAGTTTTAGATCCTTATAAAAACTTTATTAAAAACATTAGCTCTAACAATATAAAATGTTAAAATGGTTACCTATGGTTATTTTTAATTATATTCTATACCAAAATAGAATTACTCTGGTATAGAATATTGTAAACAGTATTGAAAGTATGTATAATATTTTAATGTATCGATGTTAATATCAACAGGTCGTTAAGCACAAATTTTACTATAATAGCAATTGTATGTTTGGGATGTTTATAACAAAAACTCATCAGGCGTCTCATGACTACGAGTTAGAACTAAGCACAAGTGTAATTTTAATTGTGGCTTAGAAAACCAATGAGATATGTTTAATATATTTCGGATTTCTATATTACAGTGATAGAGTTACTGCAAAAAAGACGACGACGCTGGAAACCCATAGATTTACCTTAAAGTAAAGGCCCATTGCTGGCAGTGGGGGTAGCTCTAACAGTGCCTGAGACTAACGATCCCGGTAGGAGTTTAAGGGGCCTCTGTCTAATCAAATTTGAAACGAACCTACTAGGGCTGCATTCGAAATTCGTACTAAGGATCAATTGATGTTAGTTCTTAACAGACCCAAGTCTTTTGGTAGGTTATAAAGAGGTTAGCTGTTATACCTCTCACTCTCACTGCTACCGCTACTACAACCCATTCTTATTGAGTTCGTTAGTGAGCTCGTAATACTTATTGACCTTGATGGCATGGCCTTGGGATGTTGGTTTCCCAAGGAACCGTGAACTCTATTAACACAACGCGCTTTAAACTTCACGAAGACAAAATTAAGTCTGGTGTGGCAACCGACGCATAAATAACCTCTGAGATTTTATGTTGTTTCTCATAGGTATCGATCATTATATTCCAACCCGAAGTTGCTTTAAGTATAGAGTAAGACTTGACGTTCGATTTTATAGCCCCTAATCAGTCCTCCCACAAAATCTATTGACTTAATAATTGAAAAGGAATCTAATTTCAAAAACACATAGTTTTGATCATATTTTTTTTAACCAGGTGTATTTAACCAAAGACTATTATTAAAAATTTGTAAAACCAAAAGATATTATTATTACTTTGTTGATGGCTCTCAAAGCAATTAATAGACTGTAATTTTTTAATAAATTATACAAAATCATCTGTTTTACTTGGAATTGTGTAACAATGTTTATTTGTAACAATGAACTCGACTTTCAGGTTCACACAGTATTTTTTTTATAATTAAATATGAGTATCTGTAATCCGTTTGAAATCGATTACTTATGAATGACACTCTGTACGTAAACGTAAATAATACAGGGTGTTGCCACAATGAAAGTTTGAACCAATTAAGTATTTATAATAGAAAAAAAGATTTACAGTAAATAAAAAAGAAAGTTGATATAAAATAAATGCGGGTAGAAAGTTTTATAATTGTTCACCTAATTCCTATTCTTATTTTCATTTATTTTAATTAGCTTTACGAATATTATATATATGGTAGATACAAGCTCCAGAAAATGTGTAGGCTGTTTCTTGAAGTGGATTTTTTTTATAGAGTATAAGCTAAATGATAATAGAAATAGGTACCTACTAATATTTTAAAAATAGATAGTTCTCCTGATTCATATTCGATAAAAAATATTAGAATAGAAGTACAAATATAATCAACAATTTCCAAAATAATCCTTAGATTATGTAAAATGTACTTCTATGAAACTCTAACTATATATATAGGTGAGTTATATGAAAAACATAGTTGCATTTATAAAAGAAACACGGTAAATTACTTATTTCTATTACATTTCATTTAAATGTGCTAAGTGTAACAAATATTATAAAGTTATATTCTCAATTTATTCCGTTTTAGGCAATAAATCTTTCGTAAATATTATCTTTTTTGTAGGTTATGAAAAAACTCCATTGGAAACCTTTTAGTCCAATCAATAAGGTGGTCCAATCCTTTGAACATTACGATCAATTCTCCAGTATAAAAACAAAGTTTCACTAAAGATATTTTTAGATATAATTAACGTGTCTCAATAAAGTATAAACTTTGTCTGACTTTGTTTTGCTACGAACCCTAATTAAATTAATTTTCCCAAATAAAGCCAGGAATCAAGTAGAGTAGGTAAGCTCTAGCTTTAGAAGGAAATAACCGATATTAAAACAGAGTTTTGATTTTACCTTTTTCCTATGTATTTAAGGTATATAATATAAGTACAATATGTTTCACGAACAGCTTTGAGTATCCAATGTTTTGATTGTACATATGTTAGATGGCTTTTGGACTTAGGTTACACAAGATACTATATAGGTACCTGTTGTGCACGATAACGACGTTTGATACACAGAATCTGTATTGTTAAAGCTAATATAATTTTTGTAAATAGCTGAAAGACATTAAAAGAACAGCAAAATAACCTAAAAAATACCATCAGAACAACTCCAATACAATGGTTATTAATAGAAGTAGTTAATATGTGCCTATAATGCTATCTGGTAGTGAGAAGAGATATTAAAGCTCCAGATAAATGCACCATCTCAGTAAAATACTATTCAATATTTTTTTAAAGACCTCCATTTGTATGTGTGAAGGAGGAAAATCACACAAAAGCTAACTGTTTCAAACCTTAGTCTGTTTTCTGTAAGAAAGATGGAAATTTTGCAACTAAATTACGGTAGTTTGCGTTACCTCTTTTTATTCGTTGGTAAAAATACAATGGACAAAATACCTCATACTTTGCATGAGTGAATAGAATACATTTATTAAAATTAAGGATGTTATTGCATCTTACCAATACAACCACACTCGTGATGCCATCTTGAGCTGGAAATTGTGGAAACGACCGAATCGTTGTAGAATCACTATCGGGTCCACTCATCTGGTCGCTTATCGACTCGATGTAGCCAAAACTGGGATAATGTACAGTTGGCAAGAGAGCCTTTCTAGGTTGTTAACCCTACTGATACTGGATCTTCTAACGGACTAAGAAAGCCAACGGAGCACACGTGTTCGGACCATTACCCTCCATAACCAAGCAACCAACACAACCAAAATCGTGACGAATCGTCTTCAGCTTAAATTTCAAGGAATTTTATCAGAATAATCCTTCATACTTCAGCCGATACCTGATATTTTGTCTGCGATTTATTTTGCTTTAGGCTACTCTCTTTTTGAATGATATTTTCTATGTGGTTAATAAAATATATATTGATGTAGAAAAACATTAATACTTCCTAAACCACAAAAGTAATTCATGGACGAAGTAGTCATAAATGACTAGTTCTATAATATAACGTGAAGCATTTAAAATAACTAAATATCCATTACAAAATATAAAAAAACTCACTGTATATTCTAATGATTACTATTTTCTTATCGCTTCAACCTACTGTATACATTACTATAAATTGTACTATATTTTTCATATGTGTTCACATTAAATTATCAGCACAATAGACCAGTATGATTTGGACTAACTGTATTTTTGCTCTACTTATTCTTCTGGCCACCATAGTATTAACAGAGGTGAGACTTTAAGATTTACTCGTAAATATTTTTTAAGTCCAGTAGTACACCCTACCTATTGAGTACCCTATTTTGTGTACACATTTTCGTTTTTATTGTAGGCCGACTCTATAAATTTTGGACCTAAAGAAAAAGATCCAAGCCTTCCCATGTACCATGCGATGGCAGTGGATTCTTTGAACCAATATGAAGAACAAAACGAATTGAGCAATCACCATGTCGTCTTAAAAGTAATAAAAGTGACTAAACAAGTCGTAGCTGGAACTTTAACCACTATAGACTTCTACGCAGGAAAAACAGTGTGTAGATCTGTCTTGTATGAATTGGTCTCAGAGAATTGTCCACTAGACACTCTATCCCCCATGTTGCTCTGTCAATCACAGTTGTGGTCCAGACCATGGCTCAACAAGAGAGAGATCACCATCAAGTGTAATAATGCTAGTACTTAAGTTTTTACAATACTGCTGAATATATACGTTAATAATATTAATACCTTCATTTTATTTTAAATTTCAAATATATGCAATATTTTTTGTTCAAATATTTAAAATATGATATTATTTATAATATGATATTATTTAAAGAGTTATTCAAATTAATTTAATTACGTTTCTATTATTCTTAGCAAAATCTTTAATCCGATAGACATGCATAACTTCATGAAAGGATTTTTTAAAACGTAAATCTTATATATTATTTTGTTCCAAATCTTCTTTGTTATGTTTTGCCTTAAAAAGCGAATATAAAATGAGAATAATATCAAACCAAATACATTAAAGTCATTTTGATTATATGAAAATGTTACCCCAGATTGGTCTGTGGACTAAATTTCTAAACAGTTATAAATTGTATATCCGTTCCATATTTATTTTAGAAGACTAGTAATTATAATTACACTCCTTATATTTTTATCTTACTTATACCTACTGAATTTAAACATGCGCTAACAAAAAATTAAAGAAATATTTAATTTAGTCAGGCTGGCTTTGAGTTTACCAAGACTAATGAATAGCAATAATAATTGATTTTATTATAGGTACATTAAGATAAAAAAAACGTAAATAGAAATTACTTATTATAATGCATTTAAAAAAAACAAATTGGAATTCAAATGTTACATTATGATGTAATAAAATAAAAGTAAAGAAATATTTCCTTTTAAAAGCCTATGAGTTATTTTTTTCTTCGGTTCCTTGTTTTCATTTTATAATATGAGACCATGTAAATGAAAGCAAAAATAAAAGTATAATTTTATGAAATATAAATACGAGCATACTGTGAAAAGTATATGAATTATCTGCACGATAAAAAAACCTTATGGAAAAAATCAGTATACAAAAATATTTTTAAGGTTATTTCTAATATTTTAAAACTACGATACAAGTGGTTCTTCTGACTCAAATTCAATTATTTTAATTTTATATTTATTTCTTTTTACAGGGAAGTTTAACTTGTTAGTTCCTTGTCCCTATATATATTTTTGTATATGCGTGACTTGTGTACAAAATATTTTTCAGTCATTAAATCATTTTATATATCAACGTCAAGCAGCGAACACTATGTTTACTTGCTCTAAATAACAACAAAAGTTAGGTACACAATACAATACAATAGTTTCACACTAAGTGGCCAGACATAAAAAACATAAGTTTTGATTTTGGTTTTCACAGACTATATAAAACATACACACACTCAACACATAACCAAAAATTATTGCACAATATTATTAATCACTGAGATATTTCAGCTATATTATATTTTAATATAACTGAGAATTGTTTCCAGTTTGTTATTTGATAGATACATATATACCTTCTGTTATTATTTTTATATATTTTTTTTTAAATTAATTTACATATATATCCGAAATTATTGTTTTCTTTTAAAGAAATAATCAACAAAAATATATTTGCATTAAATTTCTTACAATATTCACTTATTTTTTTATATTGTACATATTCGATACTTAGATACAGATAAAGTCGTTTTATTCATTCTAAAACCCTACGACATTAATATCCAAGGAAATCAAATTCTTAAACCCTTTAAGTCCCTTGGTTGACAATTGCATTATTTATTTAATTTTATAGCTGTTATTTAATTATTTCAGACTAAGAATACTACAACACCCACTTTCAAGTTACTTTATAAACCAAATGCTTACCAAATTTAAAAGCTGTGAACTTTAGTGCTGAAAGTTTTATTTTCTAGCTAGCCTGGCGAATACATTTTAGATGCTTTATAATTATATGTAACACAAAAAATATTTATTAAATAAAAACTTTATTAAAAACATTAGCTCTAACAATATAAAATGTTAAAATGGTTATGGTTACTTTTAATTATATTCTATACCAAAATAGATTTACTCTGGTATACAATATTATAAACAGTATTGAAAGTATAATTGAATGTATTGACGTTCAATATGAATACGTCGTTAAGCACAAATTTTACTATAATAGCAATTGTATGTTTGGGATATATATAAGAAAAAATCATCAGGCGGTTCATGAGTACTAATTAGTAAAGGTGTAATTTTAATTTAATTTATCTCGTAATTCTATATTACAGTAATAGAGTTTCTGTACAAAATACGACGACGCTGGAAATTTCGCATCAATTCATAGATTTACCATAAGGCCAGGCCCATCGCTGGCGTGGTGGTGGGGGGGGGGGGGTTGTAGCTTTAACACTGCCTGAGACTTGCGAATCCCGGTGGAAATTTAAGGGGCCCCTGTCTGACGCGCGTTATACGTTCACCTTCATCTTTGAAGCTCCTTTCTCTAACTAATCAAATTGATATTACTTCTTAAAAGAACCAAGTCTTTTATTAAGTTATTGAGAGATTTAGCTGTTCTACCTCTCACTCTCACTGCTACCGCTACTACAACCTATTCCAAGTGAGTTCATCAGTAAACTTGAAATACTTATTGACCTTGATGGCATGACCTTGGGGATGTTGGTTTCCCGAGGAACCGTGAGCAATATTAACACAAAGCGCTTTAAAATTCGAAAAGACAAAAATAAGTCTGGAGTGGATGCCGTCGCATAAATAGCCTCTGGGATTATATACAGGTGGTAGAGCTTAGCTGTGGTTAAATTACTGTAGCTCGAAAATGGGCTAGATGGACCGAGGAAGAACCACCCTCTCACAGACGATCGAAGATCGATCGATGAAGTAGTCTATAATGGTTGTGTTTCGACCGATGAGTGTGAGAGCTGGTTGCCCTTTCCCTGTTCCCACCCTTTGTTTGATTTTATAGCCCCTAGTCCCTCCTCTCACAAAATCTATTGACTTAATAATTGAAAACGAATCTAATTTATAAAATACATAGTTTTGATCATTATAATTTTTTTCATCGAGCTTTGTTTGACCAAAGACTATTGTTAAAAAATTGTAAAACTAAAAGATATTATTATCTCATTTTGATGATGGCTCTCAAAACAATTAATAGACTGTAATTTTTTAATAACCTATACGAAATCTTCTGTTTTACTTGGAATTTTGTAGCAATATTTATTTGTAACAATGGACTCGACTTTCAGGTTCAGACAGTATTTTTTTATAATTAATCTAGAAGACCCGGCGAACTTCGTAACGCCCTATAATCAAGAAATATCTGTTATTTTTTTTATTTATATTATCGGAGTTTACCTATTAAAGTCATAAATCTCTGTGTTTTGAAGTGCGACAGAATGATTGACATATTAGTTAGTTGTCAAATCTGATGTCAAAAAAAAACGATTGTATCAACAACTACCTACTAATAAATTAAAAATTAATTAAAAAAACATTGTCCAGCGGACGAAATTGTGAATCTAAACCATTCCTAGACCCCCTTGAACACACACAAACAATTTCATCAAAATCGGTCCAGTCGTTTGAGAGAAGTTCAGTGACATACACACTCACAGAGGAATTATATATACATGTGTATAAAGATATGAGTATCTGTAATCCCTTTGAAATCGATTACTTATGAATGACACTTTGTACGTAAACGTAAATAATACAGGGTGTTGCCACAATGAAAGTTTTGGACCAATTGAGAAGTTACAATAGAACAAAAAGATTTACACTAAATAAAAAAGAAAGTAGATATTAAATGAATGCGGATAGAAAGTTTTATAATTGTCACACTTAATTCCTATTCTTATTTTAATTAAATATAGTTGTAAATATTTATAAAAGGAGCAAGTTAAATTACTTATTGCTATTACATTTCATTTAAATATGCTAAGTGTAACAAATATTATACATTCATTTTCTCAATTTATTCCGTTTTAAGCAATAATTTCGTAATGATTATCTCTTTTGTAGGTTATGAAAAAACTCCATTGGAAATCTTTTAGTCCAATAAATAAGGTGGTCCAATCTTTGGAACATTAAGATCAATTCTCTAGCATAAAAACAAATGTTTCACTAAAGATACTTTTAGATATAATTAACATGTCTCAATAAACGTATGATTTTGTTTTGCTACGAACCTTAATTAAATTAATTTTCCCAAATAAAGCAAAGAAACAAGTAGAGTAGGTAAGCTCTAGCTTTAGAAGGAAATGAGGAAGGAAATTGTAAATAGCTAAAACACATTAAAAAGAACAAATAAATAACTTAAAAAATACCATCAGGACAACTCCAATACAATGTTTATTAATAGAAATGGTTAATTAAATTAAATTAATGAAATCTGATTGTATGAAGATATTAAAGCTCCAGATAAATGCACCATCTCTGTAAAATACGATTTCATATATTTTTAAAGACCTTTTATTTGTATGTGTGAAGGAGGGAAATCAGATGAAACCTAACTGTTTCAAACCTTTGGCTGTTTTTTGTAAGAAAGATGGAAAATTTGCAACTAAATTACGGTCATTTGCCGTACCTTTGTTTAACCGTTGATAATATTAGAATGGAGAAAATATATAATACTTTGCATGAGTGAATAGAATACATGTATTAAAATTAAGGATGTTATTGCATCGTAAGAATACAACCATACTCGCGATGCCATCTAGAGCTGGAAATTGCGGAAACGATAGAATCGTTGTAGATCACTATCGGGTCCACTCATCCGTTGGCGAGGCAACCTTCCTAGGTTGTCAACCCTACTGATACTGACTGAATAAAGCCAACGGAGCACACGTGTTCGGACCGTTACCCTCCATAACCAAGCAATCAACACAACCAAAATCGTGACGAATCGTCTTCAGCTTAAATTTCAAGGAATTTGATCAGATACGTCCTTCATACTTCAGCCGATACCTGATATTTTGTCTGCAATTAATTTTACTTTAGACTATTCTCTTTTTTTAGAAAGTAATTCATGGACGAAGTAATAACAAATGACTAGTTTTAGAATATAACGTGAAGCATTTAAAATAACTAAATATCCATTACAAAATATAAAAAACTCACTGTATATTCTAATGATTACTATTTTCTTATCGCTTCAACCTACTGTATACAAAACTATAAATTGTACTATATTTTTCATATGTGTTCACATTAAATTATCAGCACAATAGACCAGTATGATTTGGACTAACTGTATTTTTGCTCTACTTATTCTTCTGGCCACCATAGTATTAACAGAGGTGAGACTAAGATTTATTAGTAAATATTTTTTTAAGTCCAGTAGTATACCCTACCTATTGAGTACCCTATTTTGTGAACACATTTTCGTTTTTATTGTAGGCCGACTCTATAAATTTTGGACCTAAAGAAAAAGATCCAAGCCTTCCCATGTACCATGCGATGGCAGTGGATTCTTTGAACCAATATGAAGAACAAAACGAATTGAGCAATCACCATGTCGTCTTAAAAGTAATAAAAGTGACGAAACAAGTCGTAGCTGGAACTTTAACCACTATAGACTTCTACGCAGGAAAAACAGTGTGTAGATCTGTCTTGTATGAATTGGTCCATGAGAATTGTCCACTAGACACTCTATCCCCCATGTTGCTCTGTCAATCACAGTTGTGGTCCAGACCATGGCTCAACAAGAGAGAGATCACCATCAAGTGTAATAATGCTAGTACTTAAGTTTTTACAATACTGCTGAATATATACGTTAATAATATTAATACCTTCATTGTATTTTAAATTTCAAATATATGCAATATTTTTTGTTTAAATATTTAAAATATGATATTATTTAAAGAGTTATTCAAATTAATTTAATAACGTTTCTATTCTTCTTAGCAAAATCTTTAATCCGATAGACATGCATAACTTCATGAAAGGATTTTTTAAAACGTTAATCTTATATATTATTTTGTTCCAAATCTTCTTTGTTATGTTTTGCCTTAAAAAGTGAATATAAGATGAGAATAATTTCAAACCAAATACATTAGTCATTTTGAGTATATGAAAATGTTACCCCAGATTGGTCTGTGAACTAAATTTCTAAACAGTTATAAATTGTATATCACTTCCATATTTATTTTAGAAGACTAGTAATTATAATTACACTCCTTATATTTTATCTTACTTATACCTACTCGATTTAAACATGAACTAACAAAAAATTAAAGAAATATTTAATTTAGTCAGACTGGCTTTGAGTTTACCAAGACTAATGAATAGCAATAATAATTGATTTTATTATAGGTACATTAAGATAAAAAAAAAACGTAAATAGAAATTGCTTATTATAATGCGTTAAAAAAAAAACAAATTGGAATTCAAATGTTACATTATGATGTAATAAAATAAAAATAAAGAAATATTTCCTTTTAAAAGCCTATAAGTTATTTTTTTCTTCGGTTCCTTGTTTTCATTTTATAATATGAGACCATGTAAATGAAAGCAAAAATAAAAGTTTAATTTTATGACCGGGAGTCGTAAAATATAGAAATCATTACGTCGAAGTGATGATAAATGTATTTTTACAAATTGCAATTGAAATCTTTCTTTATATTTCATTTCTGTAATTCTAATATATAAAGATCATAAATACGAGTATACTGTGGAAAGTATATGAATTATCTGCACGATAAAAAAACATATAACAATATTTTTACATAAAAACATATAAAAAAAAATCAGCATATAAAAATATTTTTAAGGTTATTTCGAATATTTTAAAACTACGATACAAGTGGTTCTGCTGACTCAAATTCAATTATTTTAATTTTATATTTGTTTCTTTTTACAGGGAAGTTTAACTTGTTAGTTCCTTGTCCCTATATATACTTTTGTATATGCGTGACTTGTGTACAAATATTTTTCAGTCATTAAGTCATTTTATATTTCAACGTCAAGCAGCGAACACTATGTTTACTTGCTCTAAATAACAACAAAGGTTAGGTACACAATACAATACAATAGTTTCACACTAAGTGGCCAGACATAAAAAACATAAGTTTTGATTTTGGTTTTCACAGACTATATAAAATATACACACTCAACACATAACCAAAAATTATTGCACAATATTATTATTCACTGAGATATTTCGGCTATATTATATTTTAATATAACTGAGAATTGTTTCCAATTTGTTATTTGATACATACATATACCTATACCTACTGTTATTATCTTTATATATTTTTTTAAATTAATTTACATATATATCCGTAATTATTGTTTTCTTTTAAAGATAATAATCAACAAAAATATATTTGCATTAAATTTCTTACAATATTCACTTATTTTTTTATATTGTATATATTCGATACTCAGATTCAGATAAAGTCGTTTTATCCCTACTAATATTATAAATGCGAAAGTAACTCTGTCTGTCTGTCTGTCTGTCTGTCTGTCTGTCTGCTACGCTTTCACGCCTAAACCACTGAACTGATTTTAATGAAATTCGGTACAGAGATAGAGTTGACCTTGAGAAAGAACATAGGATAGTTTTTATCCCAGACTTTTGAAAGGTTCTCTTGGAAACGCGATATAACCGAACTCCACGCGGCGAAGCTGCGGGCGGAAAGCTAGTTCATTCTAAAACCCTACGACATTAATATCCAAGAAAATCAAATCCTTTAAGTCCCTTGGTTGACAATTGCATTATTTATTGAATTTTATAGCTGTTATTTAATTATTTTAGACTAAGAATACTACAACACCCACTTTCAATCTACTTTATAAACCAAATGCTTACCAAATTAAAAAGCTGTGAACTTTAGTGCTGAAAGTTTTATTTTCTAGCTAGCCTGGCGAGTACAGTTTTAGATGCTTTATATGTAACACAAAAATATTTATTAAATAAAAACTTTATTAAAAACATTAGCTCTTACAATATAAAATGTTAAAATGGTTATGGTTACTTTTAATTATATTCTATACCAAAATAGATTTACTTACTCTGGTATACAATATTATAAACAGTATTGAAAGAATAATTGAATGTATTGATGTTAAATATGAATAGGTCGTTAAGCACAAATTTTACTATTATAGCAATTGTATGTTTGGGATGTATATAAGAAAAAATCATCAGGCGGTTCATGAGTACTAATTAGTAAAGGTAAAATTTTAATTTAATTTATTTCGGATTTCTATATTACAGTGATAGAGTTTCTGTACCAAAGACGACGACGCTGGAAACTTCGCAGAATTTCATAGATTTACCATAAGGAAAGGCCCATCGCTGGCGTGGTGATGGGGGGGATTGTAGCTTTAACAGTGCCTGAGACTTGCGAATCCCGGTGGAAGTTTAAGGGGCCCCTGTCTGACGCGCGTTATACGTTCACCTTCATCTTCCAAGCTCCTTTCTCTAACTAATCAAATTGATATTACTTCTTAAAAGACCCCAGTCTTTTAGTAGGTTATTGAGAGATTTAGCTGTTCTACCTCTCACTGCTACCGCTACTATGCAACCTATTCCAAGTGAGTTCATCAGTAAACTCGAAATACTTATTGACCTTGATGGCATGGCCTTTGGGATGTTGGTTTCCCAAAGAACCGTGAGCAATATTAACACAAAGCGCTTTAAAATTCGAAAAGACAAAAATAAGTCTGGAGTGGATACCGACGCATAAATAGCCTATGGGATTATATACAGGTGGTAGAGCCTAGCTGTGGGTAAATTACTGTAGCTTGAACATGGGCTAGATCGACCGGGGAAGTACCACCCTCTCACAGAAGACCGAAGAATCATCGATCGATGATTAGTCTATAATGGTTGTGTTTCGACCGATGAATGTGAGAGCTGGTTGCCCTTTCCCTGTTCCCACCCTTTGTTTGATTTTATAGCCCCTAGTCCCTCCTCTCACAAAATCTATTGACTTAATAATTGAAAACGAATCTAATTTAAAAAACACATAGTTTTGATCATTATTTTTTTATCGAGGTTTGTTTGACCAAAGACTATTGTTAAAAAATTATAAAACTAAAAGATATCATTATCTCATTTTGATGATGGCTCTCAAAACAATTAATAGACTGTAATTTTTTAATAAACTATACGAAATCTTCTGTTTTACTTGGAATTTTGTAGCAATATTTATTTGTAACAATGAACTCGACTTTCAGGTTCAGACACTATTTTTTTATAATTAAACTAGAAGACCCGGAGAACTTTGTATCGCCCTATAATCAAGAAACATCTGTTATTTTTTTTAATTATATTTTTGGAGTTTACCTATTAAAGCCATAAATCTCCGTGTTTTGAAGTGCGACAGAATGATTGACATATTTGTTAGTTTTCAAATCTAATGTCAAAAAAAACCCTGTATGAACAACTACTAATAAATTAAAAATTAATTAAAAAAAACATGTCCAGCGGACAAAATTATGAATCTAAACCATTCCCAGATCCCCTTGAACACACACAAAAAAATTCATCAAAATCGGTCCAGTCGTTTGAGAGAAGTTCAGTGACATACACACTCACAGAAGAAATATATACATATGTATAAAGATATGAGTATCTGTAATCCGTTTGAAATCAATTACTTATGAATGACACTTTGTACGTAAACGTAAATAATACAGGGTGTTGCCACAATGAAAGTTTGAACCAATTAAGTATTTATAATAGAAAAAAAGATTTACAGTAAATAAAAAAGAAAGTAGATATTAAATAAATGCGGATAGAAAGTTTTATAATTGTCACACTTAATTCCTATTCTTATTTTAATTAAATATAGTTGTAAATATGTATTTATAAAAGGAACAAGTTAAATTACTTATTGCTATTACATTTCATTTAAGTATGCTAAGTGTAAAAAATATTATATATTCATTTTCTCAATTTATTCCGTTTTAAGCAATAATTTCGTAAAGATTATCTTTTTTGGTGGGTTATGAAAAAACACAATTGGAAACCTTTTAGTCCAATAAATAAAGTGGTCCAATCTTTGGAATATTAAGATCAATTCTCTAGCATAAAAACAAATGTTTCACTAAAGATATTTTTAGATATAATTAACGTGTCTCAATAAATGTATGATTTTGTTTTGCTACGAACCTTAATAAAATTACTTTTCCCAAATAAAGCAAAGAAACAAGTAGAGTAGGTAAGCTCTAGCTTTAGAAGGAAATGAGGAAGGAAATTGTAAATAACTAAAAGACATTAAAAAGAACAAATAAATAACTTAAAAAATACCATCAGGACAACTCCAATACAATGTTTATTAATAGAAATGGTTAATGTGTCCTTATAATGAAATCTGATTCTATGAAGGAGGGAAATCAGATGAAACCTAACTGTTTCAAACCTTTGGCTGTTTTTTGTAAGAAAGATGGAAAATTTGCAACTAAATTACGGTCATTTGCCGTACCTTTGTTTATCCGTTGGTAATATTAGAATGGAGGAAATGTATAATACTTTGCATGAGTGAATAGAATACATGTATTAAAATTAAGGATGTTATTGCATCGTAAGAATACAACCATACTCGCGATGCCATCTACAGCTGGCTCCCCCTACGGATTAAGAAAGCCAACGGAGCACATGTGTTCGGATCCCGTTACCCTCCATAGTCCATAACCAAGCAACCAACACAACCAAAATCGTGACGAATCGTCTTCAGCTTAAATTTCAAGGAATTTTATCAGATAAATCCTTCATACTTCAGCCGATACCTGAT